CCTCATGGTAGTGTTTGGTGTTGTATTCGACCTCTCCTGTAGCGGTCCAGCTTCTGTCTGTGGCTACACCCACACTGCTCCTTCAATATGGCACTAACACTGAACTTTGCCCAAACTCAGTCTAATATGGATACAAATACCTCCAAGATTCATGCTCATCACTGTCCCTTTTGACAGAGGAAAAAAAGTGAAAAAATAAATTGAGAATTGTGTATGAGGTGCTTAAAACATTTGACAGGAAGCTTAAATGTTACTTTTGATGATGAATTTTGGTGCAGGCCTGTGGCCGATGCTGGGGTGTGGTCATACCTACAACTTGTTTTCTTTGGTTCAAACCATTGTGGAGAAAATAATGTGATTTGTTGGAAGGTAAATCAGCTTTACAATAGAATCAGGGATTGCAAATTGAACTAATACACTCACCTGCAGCTTTGTTGTAGGCTACAATAGAGATTTGGTAATGTGTCAAACAGATTAGATATTTTTTGCAGTTTGGACAAGTTGAAACAATCAGAAAAATCCCAAATTTGTTCCTTGTGTTTTACTGAACTAATAAAGTAAATAATCCAGAGTTCAGGCACATTATTTGATGTGACTGCAGCCTAAGAGACATCTGTCTGACTGCAGCATGTCACAAAGTATGTGAAAGGATGTGAAACAAATATATGGACCCAGGTGCACACTGCTCTTAACCATAGCCGCCTACTTTATGCACATGTACCTACTCAAAACCATCCCCTCACTGTACAGTGATAGGAGACTATAAGTATTCATTTGTAAATATCTATTTTTTAAAAGAGCACTATTTCTATGTTGACTTGCACGGTCATAGGTCGTGTTTGGTTTATTTTTTCTTTTGGGGTGCACACATTGATTGTGTAGACAAGAGGAACAGACTGTGTTCCGCTACTGTCCTTCCTCTTATGTCTTCCTCATTAATCACAGCCATGTATTATTATTTTTTGTCTGTTTGCCTGATCAGATTAAACTCAGAGCTGTTTGTGGATGAGTTTTGTAACGGTTTTTGGCAGCCATATTATTGTTCTTTTCTGAATTCTTTGTCTTTAATAATGTTGCCATAGCGACTGCTGCCAACATTCCAAAACTCAGTTGCTTTTGAGTCATGTTACCTAGCAACAGTCAGGGAGTAAAATTCCAAACTTATATTTTTACAAGCTAATTTTTAACACAACAGCAGTCGATGTTTTCACCTTCAACTCAACAGAGAATTCAAATATAAATCTACAACTAAAAACAGCACCTTCTAAAACTGAATTTGTGCTGCTGATGAAATCTGCAAAATGTCCAAACCAGTGTATATGAAACCAGTGGCTCTGAAATTAATCATATAGTGTCACAGACTCTAATGTAACTGGAAGAAAAATGTCTCTTCAGCATGCTGTAGCTGCTGTGATCCTTGTTTTGTCTGTGTTTCTATGGGTTGTTTGGTCCTAACCTGTGTCTTATTGCTGTGTAAATAAATGTACTGACTGTATGTTTGGGTATCACGTACTGTAAGTCTGCTGTTTGTGCCTCTCTGCACCTCACACATACATATACTGTTATTCAATATGTGTGTGTTTGTGAGAAAGTTTCCTTTTGCCTCTGTAGATGAGATGAAGTCTCTGAAAACACTCCCTCATTCACTCATTCATTCAAAATTCCTTTTTACAGTAACACATTGTAGGATTTAAAACCTAAAGTGACATAAAACAATGTGTACATTTTACATGTAGAATTTGAACACTCAGATTAAACGGCAGATAGTGAATGTAGTGCAGTGAAGAGTGATTTCAGACACATACAACCATCATTTATATGCTTTTCTATTTCAGTGGCAGCCAAAAACTAAGATAAGCCTGAGTCAGCTGGTATTTATGTGATGTATTGGCATTTTGAAGATACTGTTGATCAGTTTGGGGTGATTAACTGTAACTATGACTTCTGTAATGTGAGGGAAATGATTGAACACATGACTTCAAGGGAAAATATTCAGGCTTTTCAACATGGTCTTGTCAATGTGCTGGACCAGTGATGCACCCCGACTGTTTTTGTTTCACTTGTGTTTGTACTGTACATACCAGATATGATGTTGTTAAATAAAATATCCATCATGTAACAAGAATTTCTGTCTAAGATCTTTTTTCAATCCGAATTTAAGTTAAAGAAATTGAAGAAACAGCAGGCACCTTGGGAAACCACTGCCAACATCATTGACCACATAGCAATTAACTACAAATGTAATGGCATTATATTAAAATTACAGGTGACACTCTCTAATAAGGGAACCTTTGTAAAGGATTAATTAGTTGTAACTAATGATTTTGTTAATTCCTAATAAATCATTGACTAATGCTTTTTGAGTTGTAAGGCTGTAGAAAATACCTTTGAGTGGGCTGTTATAAATATTGGTGATCCATTAATAAATGCTTCGTAAGTGAGTGGCTATACAGTCCAATTCAAGGGACTTTTCATTTTCCACCAGGATTATTTTAACTTGGGCTTGGAGACTATTTTTTTGCCTTACAAACTGGGGTCAGGGGTTTGAGAGAGAAGGATGCTTGTATCTAACAAAACATGTTATCAACTTGTATTATGGAATGTGTAGGATCTGGTGTTTTCAGAGTTTGTCCCATGCTAGGGAGTAAAAGTCAGAATATCTTGCTAAACCAACTTTGAGCATCCTGTGGGTTTATGTAATTAAGATTTTTGTACAATCTCACAGTATTTTTGGGCATAAGGTAAATGATAAAACTCAAACTGAAGGTTATAACATCAGTAACAAAGCAATATTGATTGAGGCACATGTCCACTCCAGGACTGTATCTCTTTTATCCCTGAAATCTGATGTGTTGCATTATCTCACACTTGACTAGCAACAAATATGACAATTCTTTGAAGATATTGTTATTATTTGTACCATAGGAATAAGACTGGAGCAAATAGTTACTTTTACATACTGCAAATTTCATAAAATGATCATGGAATTTATCATAATTAAATACTTTTAACATCTTTGGACCATGTTGGAGAGTATCTAACAGTTTCTCCCTTTGACTATTGTGTTTTGTTGTAATAGAAAACAAAACAATCTGTGCGTATTTTGGGAGAAGGGGTTATAGAATCCTGCTCGGTACCCCAGACCGGCTCGGTCCGGTCCTGGATGAAATGAACCGGGGGAGAGTGTCCCCCTCTCCCCGTCCTGCTGCTCCGTCATCCCGTCGCGCCGGAAAAGGCAGAGCAGCGGAAAAAGGAGGCGTTGCCCTCCAACAACACATCAGCTGCAAATTTATGCAAAACAGTAAAAGCACTGCTGCTGCTGCTGCTGCTGGTGGAGGTGGTGGTGGAGGAGGTGGTGGTGCTGTTGCGGTCGTCCTGCAAAGAAGAAGAAAAGAGCAACAACAAACATCACGTGAAGAGAAAGCTCCGGAGGCCGCGGAGTCGCTCGGAGTCGTTTTCCTGCCGGTGGCCGGTGCAGCAGGAGGCAGAAGACCCGGACCGGTGACGGTAAGGACGGACCGAGAGCCCCGTTAACGAGGCAGACAGCAGCAGCGCCTAGCGGGATGCTAGGAGGGGTAGCCTCCGGTGGATCCAGTGTTAACTGGTCTGAAACATGGAGGGTAGCTAGCTAACATTAGCTGTGTGTGTGTGTCAGAGGATGGCTGCAGCTGAGGAGGAGGCGTTTTTAGGTTTTGGGGGGCTGAAGCTAGCAGACTGGTCGAGCTGGGACAGGATGGTGTGTGTGTGTGTGGGTGTGTGTGTGTGTGTGTGTGTGTGTGTGTGTGTGTGTGTGTGTGTGTGTGTGTGTGTGTGTGTATAAAGATACTGCAGGGATGAAAAGGCTATAAACACATACCAGACTTAGTGCAGGAGAAACTACAACTAAACAAATAAAATAAACAGTTTTTTGTAGAAGCTCTGGACTAGGTCTGGACCAAGTTTTGTGGGTTTTTCAGTTTGATTATGAAAAATAAAAATACAACATATTAAAAAAAAGAAAAAAAATGGATCAGTGGATCAGTTGCATGTCATGTTATTTTTTTGTTGCTGTGGCCCACCCAAGTAGATTTCCTCACCCACCTTAAAAACATTTTTATTTGTTGCTTTCAAAAGCCTGGTTGTAACTGCAGACTTGAATGGGGAAGGATTTTAAGTCTGCCGTGGTTCATTCAGGTGCAGTTTGAAAAATATTACAGATTAAAAAAACTCATATCACTATATTATTTACATTACAGTAACATGTTTGAGGTAATTCAATGTATTGCTTTTCTGTGTGAGCCAAGATGTAACAGGTTTATTTATCTGTAAAAGAACAAATCTGTCATCACAATTCTTTAGTAATCAACTTATCAAAAGCGTTTGTTTATTTAAAAAAAACAAAACAACTATCAGCTGATTGATATTATAGAAGGAAATATGTGTGACTAGTGACATATGCATTTGAACATTATCAACTTGCATTTGCAAAGCTGACTATTTATTTATTTATGAAAATATTTGAGAAGTTGTCTTGGATTTATTTGTAGATTTATGTACAGAGTGTTGAGTCTCTGTACACCTGGCTTCTCTGACATTTCACTGATGCTTTGTGTGAAAAGTCAGGCACTATTTATTGAACAAATTATTGTGTACATTTGAAAATTTTACAAATAAATTTTTTTTAGAAATGTTGCTAAGAAGTTTTTTGAAAATAATAATAATCAGTTGATGATTAATTGCTTTTCATTTTCATTGTAGTTCTGTCCCATGAACAAGTATGGCGGTTGACCTGAATTAAGGACAGTGTCTCCTGGCTGATACAGGTTCACTGGTCTGTGTCTTACAGGCCTTTCTACAGGAAACAGGTGTTTGTCTCCTGGTGAAAATGTCAGAAGAAAACATCTGTTATTAATGTCAGTCTGAAGTTGTTGATGTCAGTGTGACCAGGAGTGTAGCAGCCAGAGCTAACATCAGCCCCTCAGTGAAGTATTGACTCACGGTGTCTCCGCTGTGTGAGGGGGATGCTGTTTGTCAGGAACAGTGACGGGTGTTTTTTCATCAGCCGAAGAAAGTGTTTGACTCGGTGTTTGACTGATGGACACGTCTCATCTGTCTTCTCAGCAGCCATGGAGACGGATGGAGAGCAGAACCAGCAGGGGGCCTCAACCAATGGGAGCGCTCCGTCTGGGACCAGCTCCCGCCCCTCTCCCATGAACTCAATGTCTCTTTACGAAAGACAGGCTGTGCAGGTAGGTGTGTGTGTGTGTGTGTGTGTGTGTGTGTGTGTGTGCGTGTGCGTGCGCGCGCGCATGCCTGAACTATTGAGGGCTTTGTTTAGTTTGTGGACAGATAATTCAATTTCGCTAATTGTTAATTATTTTAATCAAAAATACCAAAACTTCACTGACTCCATGCAATGGTTTTTTTCATCGTTTACAATGGTATACTGTATATCTTCTGGTCGGACAAAATGTTACATTTGAAGACATCATATTGGGCTTTACAACCTTTTTCAATAAATGTTATTAATTAATGAATCAAGAAGATAATCGCCAGATTAATTGATAATAAATGTAATTTTTAATTGCAGGTCAAATTAGGCCTAAAAGCTTCTCTCCCTTAAGTTCATCAGTTAAATCAGTATTGAGAATAAATGTAAAAAATTCAAGAAGGTAGTACAGGTTTAACAAGTGTGCAACATATAAAATAATAAAATCAATGTTTTTTTTGTTTTTTTTTAAAAATCATTTTGGTATCTTTATATTTTCTGTGCTTATGCTGACTCATCAATCTGCTGTGTGATGACAGTTGTTACATGTGACGGAACATGTGATTACATGTGATGGAAAATTTGCTCGTCAGCACAGTGACATTTAGATGAGGGTTCTACAGTTCATTTCTGCCCTGAGGTAATCCTAGTGGGTTAATCTGCTCTAATCAGTAATAAACAGCAATACATTTTACACAGGGTTTATTAACTTTTCTGCTCATTGTTAAACCTCATTTATCTATGTTGCTAATTGGATAAACAGACCAGCTGCTGCTTGTGTCACCAACAAACAGAGATGCTGCAGTTGTTGTTGTGGGTCTTGTTGAACCCGTTTGCTTTAGGTGCAGTGAGATCATTCAGCTCTTTCTGTTTTTTATTGGGGACTGATGAAAACACTTCACCCACAAATACCACAACGACAGTGAAATATGTTTCCTCCATGTAAATTACCCCGTCAGGTTTTGTCTCTTGGTCTTACAGTAACTGTGCGTCTCTCTCTAATGGTCCAGTAACAAAGCTGAGACGCAGACTTGAGGATTATCAGTTGTAACTGCTGGACATTACAAACGTACTCACAGATTTCTAATCAGTGCACATAACCATGTGATTCAGGCCTAGATTTAAATAAATGAGACTTGGAGAGGCTTTTGGCTGCAGACAAAGATGAATGAATTTCATTTATTCATTTTAATATGGCCTCTTATTTCTAGAAGCAAAAACCTGGCTAACATGGTTTTATGAGAGCTTTGTTTGGTACAAGGCTTAATGCTGCATGCAGATTAAAAAAAATATGATATCTACAAAGTCTTTCCATGAGAAAACAGGAGCTTCACATCGCAAAAGACTGGGTTTGGATTATTGTTGATGTGTGAACGCAGCTCGTTTTGTGTATAAGCCAGGGAGAGAAAGGACGTGCTTGTTTGTCTCTATAATTTGTGATTTATGTGTAAGATGAGGGACAGGAAGTGATGGAGAGCGACTGAATTGGGGAGGTGAAGGGAGAGATTGAGTCTCTCTGCGCTGATGGGGGCTGTGTGTAATTTTCTCAGGCTTCTGTCACCCTGCACAGCCATCTGTCTTTGTCACCCTGCTCACACTAATCCAGCCCGCCGCGCTCGCTTTCATCTTACAACTTATTACTATATGAGCCTCAGCTCATACATCAGGCAGCTGGCAGGAGGCTCAGCACCCTGCTACAGCGCCTATCCTTCCCTGCTTCCTCTGCCCTTGTTTCTCTTATTCCTCTTCTCTCTCAGTTTTCATGTTACTATACTTTTATTCTTTTCTAGTCCAACTTCTTTCATTCCTCCTTACTTCCACATCTTCTGATGACATGTCCTCCTCTTTTCTACTGTCGTCTAACCTCTCTCTTCACTTGCTTTACTGCCCCTTCATTTTTCTTTTCTCTCCTCCTCCCTCCAGGCCCTGCAGGCGTTACAGAGGCAGCCCAATGCAGCTCAGTACTTCCAGCAGCTGATGCTGCAGCAGCAGATCAACAACGCCCAGCTGCAGAACCTGGCCGCTGTGCAACAGGTAAAGGTATATGCATAGTATACTGTCTCTAAACTGATGTCAAAGATTGTTTACAAATTATTCATGTAACCGTTACCACGTGCAAATCAGAAATAATGTCAGAGGCAGAGAACATAAGGTGGCCAGAGAAAAAGATTAAAATAATGAAAGAGACCAGCGGAATCACAGAACAAAACAAAATAACCGCAGCGTGCACCAGCGAGAGGAAGCTCTGCATAAAGAGCAAACTCTGGAAACCACCAGAAAAAGATGTGAAAACCACGGGTGCAGTAGCTGCTGGACGGCTGTGGTTAGTCACCAAAACAAAGAGCCATGTGTGGCTTTAAACACATGGCAGCCTGTATAAACATGTCACTGTGGATTTTGTTTGGAAGATTGAAACCTAAAACTTCTCTTCTCTTCTCTTCTCTTCTCTTCTCTTCTCTTCTCTTCTCTTCTCTTCTCTTCTCTTCTCTCTTCGTTTCACCTCACTTCAACTTCCTCTTCCCCTTCCTCTTCCTCCCAGGCCACTCTGGCTGCCAGTCGTCAGTCAAGTCCTTCCAGCAGCAGCTCGTCTCAGACCACCAGCACCACAGCTGTACGTTCCTTTCTCTGTTCTTTTTTTTTTTTTTTTTTTTTTTTTTTTTTTTTTTTTGACTAAACAAAATTGTCTCCCTCCTCAGCTGCTTGACGGAGGACAATCGTGCAGAGACTCTTTTCATAAACTCCGTCTTTATTTGCTGAATCAAAGCCTGACGTTTCATGTCACGCCTTCATCTGGGGCCAAAGAGGACAAATGGGTTCATTCAGAGCAAATCAAACCAGCCAGAAGAGCAAGCAACAAAAAAAACATTCACAGTATAATTTCCAACATATTGTATCAAATCAAAATGATCAAAGTTAAACTTAACCCCCCAAGGCTCTGCACTGCGATAGTGTGTTTCATTGATAAAGTTACACATTGTTATTTTTCAGGCCAGTGTAACATCTGGAGCAGGGTCCACAACCAGCAGCCGTCCTATGGGCGCCTCGGCAACATCCACAATCAGCCAGTCGGTGCTGCTGAGTGGGACAGCAGGAGGGCAGGGACAAATGTACCTGAGGGTGAGTTTCACATACAGTCAGCAAGTAAGTTTGGCCTCGGGCCAGTTTTTTTTTTTCCTACTCCATCAGATGGCGGCCAGAACATAATCAAAGGCTAATTTAAGAAATTGATTGAAGTTGATTTGTCACTGTTAACATGTGGTCACAGTTACAGAAGTCTGTAAAGCAAGCAATGGAACGTTTGGAGCTTCCTTTCAGAATATTTTCAGAATTAAAAACTCTCATTAGCTTGAAATCATAAAAAAAAAAAGGACTTACTTTCAGATGTAAACTCAGAGTGAGCTGTTCAGCTGTCGCCATCTTGGCAGTACCTGACTTGCTTGTGGCAAACATACGCTCGCCCACCTGTCCCTCAAAGTGGCATGCCCTCATATATACATAAGTTACCGTAATAAAATTTAATTGAGCGAATTATATAAAAATTCGCCCCCCGTTCAATTGTCATGAAGGAGCAAATTAGCTATAGAGACCAAAACTGTTTTTGTACCAGGCTATAAACATATTTATTTCTGGGAGTCTATGGGGATTGACTTCCTTTTAGAGCCAGAGTCGACTGGTCAATAGAAGAAATGCAGTTTTTGGTACTTCGTTGTTGGCTTCATTCTTCAGCCTCTGAGGTTGCCGCTTGCTCGAAATAAAAGCATTGCTTCAAAAAGGAACTTTCTCACACCCTTATTTTGTAGGCAAAATCGTTAAAGAGGAAGTGATTCTGTGGGTAACTGTTGTCGTCATCTATTTTAGCATCCTGGTTCTTGAATTTTTGTGTGAGTTTAAAGGCTGATCTTATTGTGATCAAAGTCAAATCATTTCCTGACGAGCCGGTACCGAGGTCATACTTGACACCAGTGTTAGTTTAGTATTGGACTGTCCTGTTGTCCTGCAGGTTAACCGCTCCCTGAGGGCCCCCATCTCCTCACAGCTCATCTTCATGCCCGGCAGCACGGCAACTGCTGCCGTGGCAACCGTCACCCAGCAGCCACAGGCTCAGCAACAGCAGCAAGAGGTGACTCCAACCTCCTCCTCCAGCGGCCAATCAGACAATGATCAGGTTTGTGGAATGAGAGTGTGTGAAGAGTCCTAACCCCCCACCCCCACCCCCATCCCCCACCCCCACCACCACCACCATGGAGTGTTGGGTTCACACAGGTTTTCCTCTCTGTCCCTTTCTCTAGGTGCAGAATCTAGCCATGCGAGGTGTGTCCAGTCCCAAAGGTGTCGGTGTTAAGACTGAAGCCCCAGAGAGGAGTGACTCAGGTGAGGGAAGAAAGTGAAGGCAGTCTGCTGGACTAGACATCTTCCTGATTGTAACAGCTGTGAATAGTGATGGATGACGAGTCTAGAGCCAAGCTAGCTGCTCTGTGAGGCGCTGCTTTGAGCTGAATGCTAACTTCAGCTCACGAAGACCGTGCTAATTTGATGTTGTAGCAGGTGACCTTTGATGTTTACCATCTTAGTTTAGGGTTGTAGCATGCCTAATTATGCTAATTAGCATAATTAATTGTAACTGAGTGTCTCTGGATCTTTCAGGATCATGTTTTGGTTTTTTGGCCTATAACTTTTAATTCAATTCAATTCAATTCAATTCTTTCCCCCAAATTTCTTCTACAACACAGAAATTCCAAAAACGTTGCAAAACAAGTTGCATTGCCGTGTCAAATAAAACATCAAAAGTAACAGGACATATCTATAAAGTGCAATTCAATTCAGTTTTATTTATATATCGCCAAATCATAACATACATTATCTCAAGGCACTTTACTAGAGAGAAACCCAACATCTCCCACAATGAGCAAACACTTGGTGTCAGTGAAGAGTTAAAACAGAAGGTGGGGGAGGAGACCAGGAACAGCTGTATTTACTGTTGACTGTTCATTTTTATAGTGAAAATGATAATAGTAATACCCACAGATATAATGGTGTTATCAATAACAGCAGCAATTACCAATGATAAAAATAGAGAGGGGGGGTCACAAACTACAGTAGAGAGAAAATACAAAGTTAATGACATGCATTAGTATGATATGAATGGAGAGAGAGAGCGAGAGAGAGAGCACAGTGCATCATGGGACTACTTTACTGTTTAGGTTTAGTCTCACTGCTCTCATTGGTGTAATTTTCAGACGCTCCACGCAGCTGTTTTCAATGAGAAGCAGAACACAGACAAAGTTAGTGTAAAAAGGATTTTAAAGGAGTGTGGATGTTCATCAGGCGGACGGAAACACGTCTCCAGGTGAATTCCAGTGTTTCTGCGCGCTAGTTGGATGTATGAAAAGGCAAATGTTTGCTCAAATTAAAAGGTGCTAATGTGCTAGTGCTGCTTGTTCCTGCTCCAGGTTTAAATGTCATAACTGCTGCTGTGTGTGTAACTTGTTTTTTTTCTGTTCTGTCTTTTTCCCAGCTGCCTACTCTCTGGTTCAGCCCTCCCACCAGTCAAACCCTCAGTCTCCCGCCAAGCCAAGCCAGCCTCAGCCCCAGCCCCCCCACATCAAAATCCCCACGTACCCTCAGCCCACCAACCTCAAAGCCCACCCCTCCTCTTCCTCTGTTGCCTCCTCCTCCTCCTCTTCCTCCAACTCCTCCATCCCTCTCTCCCAGCTGCTGCTCCACGGGACCCGGACCCTCACCACAGGAACCACAGCTCCCACAGCAGCACACACCCTGGTCCTAACGTCCAATGCGGCATCACAGCCGCACGGGTACCCAGTTGGCACGGCGACCATCAAACCGGCTGTCAATGCTCAGACTCTGGTGGTACAGCCTCTACAGAAGACCTCACTCAGCGCCGAGAAATCAGGCCACGGCAACGGACCCATCCCCATCCAACCTAAAACTCTGCAGGGGCTTCGTCTGCCCCTCCAGCTGCCTTCTAGGAACCCCCCTCCCATCCTGCCTGCCCCACCACCATCCAGCAGCTCTGCCCAGCCTGCCCAGCCCCCTCAGCCACCACACATCCCAGTCCAGATTGTGGGGGCAAGGCAGAGCACACTGGGAAACGCCCAGGCTCTGGCTCTGGCCCGGAGCAGCTGCAGCCAGGACGGAGCCGCCGTCCTCACCAGCTCTTCCAGCCTGCTCACCATGGTGGCTTCCATCGCTTCCAGGGAGGGCGGGGTCGTGGGCCGAGGGGTGGGGCTAAAGGCGCTTCAGTCACCGCAGGAGGCTCCCCCGTTGGCTCAGGTCTCTCAAGTGCACCCCCAGGCCAATCAGAGCTCTGGACAGAGTCAGAACGGACCCATAGCTTCAAGCCCTGCCTCCTCCCAATCCCCCACCGTTTCCTCTCCCCCCACCTCGCTGTCTCGTTCCTCCCTCTCCCTCCCTCTAGTAACTGAAGAGCAGAGAGGAGCGTCAGTGGGTGTCACCACCAATGGAGACTCATCAGGAAGTCAGACACCACAGGTCAGCTGATCACTGTTTATTAGTCAAGATTTCATACACTCCTTATTACACCGATGTGCATCTTCAATATCTGTGTCCGTCTGTTTGTATATTTGTGTAACAACATCTCTACTGTTTTAATATGTGAATTTCACTTCCTCCGCATGGACCACAGAGTCAACACAGCAAATAAGATACAGTTTGATTTCACAACAATTTAATATAATGGCAGTTTTTCTAATACAGTGGTATTTAAAGGAATAGTTTGACTAGTATCTGATTAGTAGCACTATGGATCATTGTTTTAATGGGTCCCCCTTGGTTTGTACTATGAACACTAACAGTATTGCACATGCACACGTAAGAGCAATGCAGCTGATGTGATACAGGTTTCAGGCTCTTCGTTAGTTGGTGGTAATGCACTGAGAAATGTAACAGTGCTTTCGCAAAGACGGTGAAGAAGAAGACATGCAAAACATGGCATTCCAAGCATTCCAAAGATGTTGCGGTTTTTGGTGAACTTTTGTTTGTTTACAACAAAACTCCACAGGAGACCTTTAAGTATGGAGCAAGAGCCGTGAAGTGATTACCTGAGCTAGCCTTGCTCTGTGTGAAGCTGCGTCCCAGTTCAGGGGCCACATCCTTCAAAGACTGCATTTGAAGACCACGTCACAGCGGTGTGACTGGGCTGTCCCCATTTCGAAGGCTCCTTCATATGCATCCTTACACTGCACAAAGTACCCCAGAATCCAGAGATGTAGTTGCCCAGATATTTCAAACAATGACCCCATATATGATGCAATCTGGACTGGACATGCTCTGATCACAGCATTGTAAGAAAAAATCTCCAGATATGGTCCACATTCTTGCAAGAACCTAAAAAGGATATCCCCGGATTCTTGCGGTTTTGGCATACTTTCCCATGATTCCTTGCGCACCAGTGATGAATCGTTTTTCATAAAGACGATATTACAGAGGATAAACAGAAAGTCCTCTGTAGACCTGGCCGTCTCATTTTGGTCTTCGTAGGCCACGCCTTTGTTGAACAGGTCCTCGGAAGGATGCTGCCCCTGAATTGGGACACAGATAAAGTGTGGGCAATTAATTCCTAAGGAGTCTTGTCATCACTGTGAGGTTGGGAAGTGCTGGGTGAAGATAAACTGTTGTTTGTCAAGATGCAGTTAACTTCTAAAGCTGTGATGTTCTCTTGTCTTATGTTGTTTTCTTTCTTTTGTTCCACAACAACCTGAAGCGCACTGTTCATTAGTATCTCTTGCTTCCACTGTTTGACCTCCTGTTACTCAGCGTGATCATTTCTAACACTTTTTTTTTTTTAGGGAAAGCAGATGACTGGTTCGCTGAAAAGGAAATCAGATTCAAACTCAGCCAATGATGCAGATGGCCCCTCCCCCCCACGGATCCAGCCTGTCAGAGATCACTCCTCTGTTCTCCCAACCAATCCCATTGAAGCAGGTAACGACAACAGAGACACATGTAAATCTCCATAGTTGATAAATAATATAAGACTAATCTAACACACATCTTCCTCACCTCCCCACCAGTCTCTGCTGCTCCTCCTCCAGCCCCGCCCTCTCCCTCCCCAGTCCTGTCAGTGTCCCGTGGTGTATGTGGTCAGGGGGAGAGAGCTCCTCCCCCTCAAGCTGTAGTTAAACCTCATGTCCTAACACACCTCATAGAGGGCTTCGTCATCCAGGAAGGGGCAGAGCCTTTCCCTGTGAGTACATGGGATTTGTAGTCTTTAATATCCCACTCCTACAGGACACACCTCCTCTATATGATGCTGTTTTAGTGGTCACTGAGCTTTTTTTTTTTTCTGTTTATCAACAGGTATGTGGTCCAGTGAAGGACTCAGCTGGTGAGGATTTAACCAATGACAGTCCGGACACTAACCAATCAGAGGCGGTTACCACTGCAACAGGTAACAGCTCTGAAATACTGCTGCCTTCCAGACATGTCTTAGGGTTGAAAATTGCTTTTAATGCTTCAAATTAGACCTCAAAGTGTGAAACATGGGTCCGGTTTCACAAAGACAGACTTTGACTGTCGCTCAGATAGAACAAATAGTCAGATTTCATATGGACGTATAAATTCATCCGGTGCACAAAGCAGTTTAGTTCTTGACTGTCGTAAAATGGACTGTGGTACAATGCATTCTGGGTAAATTAAGACTTTCTTCAATATAAAAAGAACTGCATCCATTGCTCAGCTCCATTTACCCAAGCAGACAATGTTTGTCTTTTGGAAGAATTCAACAGTTACAAGGTTTCACTTGTGAAATTCCGCAAAACCATAAAAAGAAAAATCTGATTTGGAAAAAAAATGCTGCGGTCTCTTAAAAACTCTTTTCCTGTCTCATGTTTTCCTGTTTTTTGTTGTTGGGTGCTACTGGTCAGCAGAGGTGTCATTGATTGTTACCATGGTAACATTGGTCTTAGGCCTGGATTAGCCTGGGGGTAAGGTGTCTAATGTTTTTGTCTTAAAATAAGTCAGTCTTTATTCTTGTGAAACCGTCTCACTTGCGTTAGACTGATCTATGAGCAAAATTAAGACTGGCCTAACACTACAGACCAGTCTGAAATATCTTTGTGAAATCGGCCCATGGTCTTCGTTCTCATCTTTTTAAGGTTTCTGTAAACACTAAACAACTGTGCTTTAAAATTTGTAGAATCTGAAAAACTGTTGTTTTGCATCATATGATTAAAATCTCTCAAAACAGCCGTAATCAAAGGGAAAGGACGCAAGTTAAAGCTGTTAATTTGCTCTTCCAGCTGACTGTCCATACTAATTAGCTAGTTAACCTTTTCCAAACATAATTAACATAACATGGACACGGAGAACAGGATTTTAAACTGTGCAACAGAATGACCCTTGTTTGACCCTTGTTTGTTTGAGCTGGGAGACCTGAACGCTCAGAGGTTTTAATTACAATCTCCATGCTGGAAATTACCCACAGGCAGCATAACAGCACAGTGAAATGTCATTAGTCTCCTCGTCTCAGAATAAAGACAGTCTCAGTTTGCCTTGTTTATCTGAGTTGTTCTTGTCATGCAGCTCATTTATTTTATGTACAAACAGTAGAAATGATAAAACTTAACCTGTGCTCTGTTCTCTCTCTAAACTTTCCCCTCAGTGCTTAAGTGTGAGTACTGTAAAAACTTTGCTCCTGCCAGCCAGTTCAGAGGCACCAAAAGGTTCTGCTCCATGACTTGTGCCAAGAGGTACTTCAACATGCATGAAATATAATATATGCAGTGGAGGAAGCTGTCTGAGAATTCACTGTAAAGCTGCTGTGGCCTGTTTTCTCTCACCTTTCGAAGAGATTCAAGACGTTTTAGGCCGTTTTGTTTTATGCCTATTAAAGAGAAAACAAAAAAACATCTGTTTCTCAGAGACTGACCGTAGTCTGAATTTTAGAAGTAATTGAGTCTTTAAAAAGAAATATTTATTTGTTTAACCATTCAATTGTATATATCTAAATTTTACTTTCCTACGTTATGATGTAAATGTTGTTTCAAAGCCCTCCCTTACTACCAGGTTTTTAATTCTGGTTGAAATAAACAGTTTTTTAGTTTTTAGTTTTTCCTTTTCTCAAAAAAAAAGTCAAATTTTGAGATTCATAGAACTATCAGAATGACCTTTTTAAAACTTGGTGTGTCTAATATGTGTGTAATCTCAGAATGTGAACTCCTCTTCATGTCATTAAATCCTCAAATTCTCCAAAATTTTAGCGAGGGCATGACCTCGGTGTCCTGAACAGAGATCAAATATGAGAGTTACATGTGAATTCTCAGGTGACTGCAGCTGTATGTTTCACAGCATGTGTGTTTTCTGTTCTCATGGTTTATTTTTCTGTTTGAATACTGTCGTAGCTCCACTTCATGCTCATTTCTCTACAAAAATGGCATGAAAACTCAAATACCAGTCCAGTCCAGTTAGTTTTGTTGATGTTTTTCTCTTTTGAATTTGCCCCACATTAAAATTGTATTTATGATGACTTTATAAACAATGCTCTGTCTGCATTGTTTGTAACAGTATGCCATCAGCATATGATTTTTACATTTTCTGCTTCTGCTTTGCATTTGTCCCTTTGCCCACTACATGTGTATAGGTTATATACTGCGTATGGTGCAAAGAGATAAAGACTATGTTTTGCTCGTCTTGGCTTCAGTACCGTATATGTCACTCTTTGTCTACGATACAGTATGTATTGGTTCCCCAGGTACAACGTCAGCTTCAGGCAGCACTTCTGCGTGCGGCAGGGTCATAGCCAGGGTCAAGGTCAGGATCACCCTCCAGATCAGGATCAAGGCCAGGGTCACCTCTCCAACTCGGACGAGGAGGGAGGAATCGCCAGGCGGAGGGTTCCCCGCAGGACCAGCTCAGAAATAGCCAGTGCCAAGATAGCAGGGAGACCCATACCTGTCAAGGTGAGCCGGTCTTTAAGTTCATATTTCACAATTTTCCTGTGTTTTATCTGAAGTTTTGATCCATAAGAAGATATATTTGTGGTTTTAAGAACCAAAAACCATCTCAGTGTAGTTTTACATCTCCTCTCTCAGGCTTCCCTCTGGAGCTCTAGCAACAACAGGTCGTGAGCCAATCAGAAGAGAGGAGGCTCTGATCCTCTCTTTTGATCAGTGACTGTTTTCTGAGTGATCCAATAAAAATATAGATTTCAGGTAAAAAGAGAAACCAAATCCTGCAAGGTTGGATGGTGGGTCCAGTTGGGCGGGGCTTGGGGCACGGCTGAGAGTAGTGACTGCTTTTTTGTGACATCATAAAGTTACAGAAGTCCTGATGGCTCACTTTAAGGCTCAGTTAATGAATACAGGCTGTGTGCATTTCTATGTGGACTGAGCGCTTTGATACTTTTATTAATATAGAACCTAGACCTGATCGATAATCAAAGAAGACATGGAAATCTACCTATTAACTATATGGCACCTTTAAGTTTTGAAAGGTTTAGTAGTGGGAAAAATCAAGATAAGATTAAGAAACCAAGAAAGTTAAACTGGTAAATGTTTCAGTGCTCGATGCAGACACTCATATGATAGTTGATCATTTCATTCCAACATCAGGGGTTTTAATCTGCTGCTATAACAAACTCCACTCCTCTGGGAAGGGTCTCAGATTTTAGAGCTGTTCTAATTCACCCCAGAGTTGTTGAATGGGGTTCAGGTCAGGGCTCTGTGCAGACCAGTCAACTTCTTCCACACCAAACTGGGAAAACAATTTCTGTACGGAGCCGGCTTTTGTGTATGGGAGCATTGTTGTATTGAAACAAGAAAGGGTCTTCCCACAAGGTTGGAAGGACCTACTGTCTAAAATATCTTTGTATGCTGCAGCATTAAGATTTCCCTTCATGTGCGCAAAGGGGCTTTACCCACAGCAATAAAAAAATATCCCCATATTTTTGGCCATGAAGCGTAAAGTTAAAATGGGATAAAAACATAACAGTAATGAACACAATAACACATAGAACAAGGAGTTAGACAATATGGATGGGCATATATTCAGGTGAAAAGCAACTTTTTGGATCCACACCTACCTCTCAGTCTTCCCTGTAAATGTCTTCTGCCCCCTAGTGGCTGCAAAGGGCCAATGCAGCCTTTACAAACAAAGCACATAACTAGATTCATTCTCTCTCAGTTTGGGGGCTTTATTTCATTTTCATTATATACATTAAGACTGTTACTTGGTACAGTTTAGATCTTTATTTATGGATGTGATCACACACAGTCAAAACTGGGAGGCAGTGCAGCCATACGCTTCTGCTAAAGGTGGAGTTTTAAATGCCTCGCTCACTGGCACCCCCCACCCCCCACCCTTCTCCACAGTGCCGTTCAGAGTCCAGCCATTCAGATGAGGAGTCCAGTGGGGAGGAGGATGAAGACGACCCCATGTCCCTCTCGCCGGCGTCCTCGGCCTCCTGCCACCAGCCGCCTCCCCCGCTCCCGACGGAGAGCTCCGCACCCGGCTGCCTGCCTGCGATCCCCGCCCAGTGGAGTGTGGAGGAAGTGTCACACTTTATTTCTTCGCTACAAGGTGGGAAGATCTGTACAAATGCTGATACTGATTATGTCATTAGAAACAAGCATCTTGCAAGTTGAATTACTGATGTTTTGAGTAAGTTTAGTAACTTACCCTTCCATTTTTTCCTCACAGGCTGTGAGGAGCTCGCCTCCCAGTTCCTGTCGCAGGAGATTGACGGACAGGCACTGCTGCTGCTGAAGGAGGAGCACCTCATGTCCACCATGAACATCAAGCTAGGTCCTGCCCTCAAGATCTGTGCCCACATTAACAATCTGAGAGACTGATGTCTCCATAAATCCACTCCATGTTCAAAGTCAAGCCCTGGGCATTTACCCCAAACTCTTGTCCTGCATCCAGTTCAGATATAGAACTGGTTCCAGAGCGGTCAGAGTCCTTGCAGGTGAATGTATGAGGTACAGTCTGTTTCCAAAACAAACAAACTTGAATCTGTTGTTGACCATGTTTTTTAAAGGTCGTATTTGCACAGGAGTATTCTGAATTCCTTACAAATCTGTCATGTCTGTCAGTTGCAAAAAATACTACAGATTACAAACTATATTTTGGTGAAGTTACATGTTGTTTCTGTGCAAAATCAGCACTTGCAGGCAGAAATAGTTTTTACCAAGTGATTACATTTTCGTTTGTCACTCTTTAAATTTTAAACCTGTCTTGTAAAATGCAGAAATGGAGGTTTTTGAATGTATTTTCAGTGCAGAGATCAACTGTATTGAGTTCAATGAGTAAATGAGGATAAGATTAAATCTACAGTACTCTTACAGGATTCCCGCATTTTACAAGTTGCTGCTCTTTCTACAGACTTTGACCCAGGCTTTTGTTACATCTCATATTCCAAGTTGAGCTCAGCTAAACAAACAGAACACTGAAGAATCACACAGAAGAATGCACAATTGTTTCATTCATGGTGCAGGAAAAGTGTTCTTTAAAATATTCTCCCCTCTTTATTGGTGATTGTAGTTTAACACTTTAACGTGTTTGATTACAGCTCTTCACCTGGTTTAAGCCACAGTCAGCACAGGATTCAGACAGAAAGACGTATAAGATTTAAAGAATTCAGTCAATATCTCAAGATTACATCTGATTTTATTTTGAAAAAGTATTTTGTAAGGAAAGCACTCGGATGATTTTGACCTTTAATGTCATGTATGTAATAAAAAAAACTAGTACTTTCAACATCATAATCACTTTGTTAAAAAATAGGCATCATCATTTGTAAATGATGGCACTTTTATTTTGAAAGTGGCCTATTCTCTAACTTACAGGGTATATAGTGAAGAGTACAGGGTACTGGCTGCAGAGATGCCAGACCAGAGTCCAAATAAAACCCAAACCCCTCGAGGTTCAGAGAGCATTTTATATCTCAAAATACTGATGTTACATCTGTTTTCTCACATCTGTATTACACACAGAGCACAGCAGCAGTAGACAAAACTCTACTCGAAATGCTTTTTCACTCAGTATCTTAAGGGGATCCAGCCTTTTCAAGTTTTTTCTTAACAGAGGACTCATTGTTGACTCTTAAAAAGGACTGAAATCTGCAAAATCTGTGACTGTTTTGTTCTGTTAGGCAGTTTGACAGATTTGAAACGGTACAACCAGCTGCTTGTTGCGGCATGCGTACGAGTGACGGGTAACGTCACGGGCTTGATTTTGTGTAGTGACATAAAGTTTAAAAGAAAAAGCTGAAAGAGATGAAGGATGATAGAAGTTGTTCATATGAAGTAACTTTAAAGGTCCCATATTTTAACCTTTTCCAGTGTTGTATTTGCAGTGTTGATCCATAAGAAGATATATTTGTGGTTTTAAGAACCAAAAAACATCTCAATGTAGTTTTACATCTCCTCTCTCAGGCTTCTCTCTGGAGCTCTGGTAACAACAGGTCAGTGAGCCAATCAGAAGAGAGGAGGCTCTGAGCCTCTCTTCTGATTGGCTGGCTGTTTTCTGATTGAATCCAATAAAAATATAGCAGATTTCAGGTAAACACTCAGAGAAACCAAATCCTGCAAGGTTGGATGGTGGGTCCAGGTGGGCGGCGCTTGGGGCATGGCTGAGGACAGTGACTGCTTTGGTGTGACATCACAGTTCCAGAAGTACTGACGGCTTGTTTTAAGGCTCAGTTTCTGAATACAGGCTGTGTGCATTTCTCTGTGGACTGAGCGCTTTGATACTTTCACAGTATTAGTATAGAACCTAGACCTACTTTATAATCAAAGAACACATGGAAATCTACCTTTTTACTATATGGGACCTTTAATTTGCATTTTTGAACAAAAACCACAGTCTGTTCAGAAGAAGAGACTGGTAGCTACATGTGGACCTATGTTTCTAATGGATGGAAAAAAAATCATACCTGACTGATTGAGCGTGTGAATGAATGAAACCTTAAACTATACTGTAATAAGTGTAAAATTTGCCTTTATATTTAAATGCACATTTGTTTGCTGGACTGCCTTGTTTGAGCTTTTTACCGTAGGAGTTTTCTCATGTTATCTCTCTGTGAACCTTGTGGCCTTTCTCACTAGTCTCTACAATAGGTTTAGATAAGGATTGTCTGTTTTTTAACTGCTTTTCATATCATTCCTTGTTTTATATTAGTGCTTACTTTTTTACAATTGTTACTTCAAGCAATGACATGTTTTGCCTTTTCCAAAAAAAAGAAGTGTGACTGAATAGTAGCTCCCTTGATCAAGGAAACTTGCTGTCTTCCTCATAGCTTCGTCACATAGCGTGTAACTACCAACAGTATTTACCTTTCTAGCTATAGCGATCTTTGGCTTTATTGTTAGTGACTGTGGCCATTACAGTATTTTCTTTCAAAAAGGATAATATTCTTTGATAGCTGTGTGTTTATATTTCACAGTCGCCCCAGGATTTTGGAGTATTTTAAATCAGCTGGTCCCTCAGCATATCGTGAAGACCAAAAAAATATACCACTTATACTTGTGAGCCACAATTTCTTACTTAAATCGTTGCAGTTCTGCTGTGATTACTGGTGTAACGTTTGTTTACAAGCAGACCATTGCAACTTGTTCTCCCAAAAAGTAGCACTTTTCTCACAAAATAACAATGGATTCTACAAAATTGTTATGTTTTGTTTTTGTTTTTTTTTTAATGAAGAAGCTATTTCAGAATCAAAAAGTATTTCCTTGCAATAATCAAAAAAACTGCAAAATCTTGGAGGGACTGGGTTTGATGAGGAGACGTTAACAATACTATCATGCAAATAAATAATCAAGGAACTGTTTAAAACTATGTTGCCTGTGATTTTATTTGTGAAATGAGGGAACGGTTGTTTAATTTGCATACTAGACTTTACATGGATCTTTGTCAGTGTGTAGCCTGACAAGGAAAATACAGGGATTCATAAATTTCCTTACTAAACACAATGTCTTGAGTAGAAGTATATTGGATTAAAAAAAAAAAATGTTTTTGGCCTTGTGAACGTGAGATCTGGCCTTGAGGGAATTTCTTCAAATTTGGCACAAATGTTCACTTGTACTCAAAGATGAACTGATTAGATGTTTGAGGTCAAAGGTCATTGTGGCTGCACAAAAATGTGTTTGGCCGTAATTCAAGAATTGACACGTTACTTAACTGCAACTGGACTGGTTGGCAGAGGCACACAAGCTCAAAGCAGTAATTCTAGTTTAGATAATTCCCTGTTTCCAACTACATCCCTGGCTGAGTTTTTGGTCTCTCTGACTGGGCTGGGTCATTAGCCTTACAAAAGAGTTTTTAGTCATAGTTATTATAATACAGTAGTGTATTGTATACCCGGCATCCTCCACTATTTGCTTTGTACAAATAAGCTCTTTTGTTACAGTTAAAAAGTGCAGAAAAGATGCATTGTTCTTTTCATATTGGTCTTTTAGATGAGCATAATTATAGTTCACAGGAAAATACATATTTACAATCCATATATTACTCTTTAAACATATAAAGTGAGAGTGCTTATAATGTCTTTTAAATGTCCAACAGTACATAGGAGTGCAAAACAAAAATTTCGTTTCATAAACAATAATTATTACAATGTCTGTTTTTCCGAACGTTCTTTTTCATTCGTTTTGACTGACGACAGTTTCAGCCAATCAGAGCACAGCATAGTTGTACGTTTCTCCATATCCCGCCTCCCTCAGGTATCTCTCGATATGTAATGGCTCAGACACTCTAAGAACTGTCCTCCCATTGGCTGATTTCTCTCCCGCCTGAAGTTTTCTAATCAGGTCCGACATGGAGAGACGTTGTTGGGGGTTCCAGTGGCAGCAGGACCTAATGATGGCGTACCTACAAAGTAAGGTTAAACACTGTGAAACTTAAGTTACACCCAATGAATATTATGTATTTATGCTCTCTACCAAGCTTGGAAACGTAGTTAGCAGGTTTTTACATCATTTTGATGATGTATATGAGCGGTGAGCCATTGTTGGAACTGGTTTGTTAACGTTAGTTAACTGTTAGTGTTTGGACTAGCTTAACTCACAGAAGATAAAGGAAGTTTAAAAAAAAGTTTCAAAGTTGTGAAACCTTTATTCCGTTTGTGAACATACATAAAGAGCAATTTACTGCTTTCTTACTCTCTAGACCACATCTAGCACCAAAACCACTACACTTAAAAAATTGCCAAATGTAAACTAGACTAACCCAGATAAGCTAAAGACAGTTTAAAGAACACTGATGGGAGTTACCCATTGGACCAGGATTAGCTTCCAAGCTAGTTGTTCCAATGTAGTTGTAATGTCACAAATCCTGCTTTTAGGTACATGACTTTAGAATTTTGGTGATGTTCCTGTTTGACCTACTGCTTCTCCAAGGGCACAGTGCTTTCCTGTTAAATTATACATTATTATAAAGTTATATCCTAGAAGGGCCAGCTGTTTTTAAGATAATAATTATGACCCACACAGAGTTAGGAGGAAGAAGGATATTGTAAACGTGTCAACAACAAATAGTGTAGGCCTGTCTATTTGGTCTTAAAATCTTAAGCCGTTAATTCATTTTCAAAAAAAGGGGTTACAAAGTTATGAAAAAGGAAATTTACAATAATATTTCTTCCTTGCCATAACCAGTAATGTTAGTTGTAAAATGTTTTTGTGTCAGATTGTAGGCTGTTGGGATTTGTTACACATTTCTAAACTAAAGTGGGACTTGTAGGACATATTGCCCCTGATTTTCCATCATAGTTTCATACACAGGCCATGAAACTGGTTTTAAATTACATTCTAAGAAAATAAATGAAAAACTGAACCCTGAAATTAGAAGCATTTCATGACAGCTCTTGGTACTCGCCACAGGCGATGTACATTTGTTCTCATTGCCACCAGAAATTTCTGAAGCATTGGCACTCACTGGTGGGAAATCCAATTTAAGACTGTCTCCTTATCAATACTGTCTGAGCCTGAGCATGTGATGCAAAGTCGGCACTGTACAGCCTCATAAAACCTGTTTTCTGCTGATCATCTTACAGTGAGTTGGAGCAGGTGGTTGGTCGGCTGAGATGCTTTCCTCTTTGTAGATACTGCAGAAGTTCAGTCGGCGTGAGCTCAGCAAATGGTGGGTCACCTGCGCACATGGGAATATTATATATTAGACTGAGCGGCTCTTAGGCCCTATTAACTGTCTTTTAAAGGGAGTTCATATTTATTCCTTGCTGGTAATGTTAATCAAAATTACAATACATAAATGTTATGCGGTACAATTCTGTGATTCCTTAGATAAACAGCTTCTTTCAGAGGTACGTTTAGAATTTAAAAAACACTGACCCAATGTGACCATTTCATAGAGCAGCATACCAAAGGACCATCTGTCAGAAAAGAGTTAGAGAAGGGCATTGTGTCAATAAAAGTGATAGGAGTATGGTTTCACATTACATTAAATATATGGGTAAAAATTATTAATTTTATAATTAATTAAAATTGAATTGAAATTAAATGAATTTCAGTAGATCAGTTATTCAGCATCCAGAGATCAACTAGGACAAGAATAAAACTGGAACATCCAGCCTCTTCTTTGATAACTCTGGCTGGGACATTTCAGGACTTGGACACTCACACGTCACTGCTCCGACTGACGCCTCTCCTGGCCAGCACTTCAGGTGCCTGCCACTTCCTCAGCTCCATGTCCTCCACTTCCCCTGGTGTTCTCTTGCGGTAGGTCGAGCCCAATCCCCACAACTTCGCTGTCAAATCTCCACCAACCAGAACGCTGCGAGCCCCTACGTTGCCATGGATGCAGCTTTGACTGTGCAGATAGTCCTAGTTTTTTAGATGAAGACAGTGTAATAAAAGATTTTTTTTTTGACCAATAGTTTATATTGTAGTTACACTTATAAAGAAGTCCTGTTAAATTAAAATTAATTTATATACTGTAATATGAATGATATAATAAATTATTTTGCTTAGTGAGACCTGGAGATAAGCAAAGAGACAGATAGAGCTCTCTCCCAAGTGATTCCCACAAATAAATTTTTTTGGTCCATAAAGCATCGGGAGAGACTGACAGAAGGACAGACAGCAGTTAACCAACCAGAGCAGAGGCCACTTGTCCTGCCATGGTGAAGATCCTCTTCTCTGTCATGTCGCATGAAGACTCTAAACCTGAGTTATCCTTTAGTGACAGAAGAAGAAGAAGGAAGGAAATGTAAAAATATAACTCTGCTTTTAGGTAGAGAGCAGCTTTTTTGAGTCAGACTACCAGACAGGTATTTTATGTTAAGTGATCCCCCCCTACTGTCTGTCAGTAGTAGGATATATTGTCCTCTGTTGCCCCACAGAGGCACAAAGCAGTAATTACTTTAGCCATATTGTATTTTAATAGGTAACACCCAGGTTTTGGAGTTAGCAAATAATTATCCTACCATATAAAATCTGTTAAACAATAAGCAGTCCACATTTTTAAATGGTTTAAATATTCAAAGCTTTCATCAACAGTGTGAAGTTAGAAATGAGCTGATTCAGTTGCAGATGACATTAAAAGGTCTGTGCTGAGCACATATCCTGCAATGTGTGACGTAAACCACAGTGTAACCCTTTGTCTAAACCTCTGAATAATCTGTCTTTGTTTTGGAGAGTAATAAGTTAATGTACCTGTCTACATCTCCACAGGAACCCGAGCAAGTCTCTGTGCTGCAGCTCCTCCACCACCATCATTAGGGGCGACTGCACTGAAACTACACCCAGCAGCGCGGGAATGAAGGGATGCGGCCCCAGTCCAGAGACAAAGGAGGCAAAACCCAAGAAGTGCTGCTTCTCACTGCTGGTTGCTGTTTCTGCGAAAGGTCAGACAACAGAATAACTTTTTTAATTTAACCAGGGACTTTTCACTAAGCATTGTTCTCTCTTCAACCACATATTGTTGATTTGAAAAGTCAAAAAAATACAGCCTGTTTTCCATCAAAGCATTTATAGCTTTTGATTGTTGCAAGTTTCTGAAAAGCTCTTCAATTCAATGGGAAAAAGCACAACTTTAGTGTCTGTAAACCAGTTGTATCTCTCAGCTGCTGAGAGGAGAGCAAAACAAAACATTTCTCTGCCTTCTTCAGCAGTCACGCAGTGAGCAGTTGGAACTCTGACTTTGAGATTTGGCTTAGTACAGCTCAGTTTACCTTTTAGCACCCTCAGGATGACATCCTTGTTGTCCATGCGGGCTCTGTAGAGGGTGACTGTGTCATCAGGCTTGATGGAGAAAGGTAGCGGCAAGGTAGTGACCTGGCTGAAAGCTCCATGCTGCCTCTCTGTGGACATCTGTGGTAGTGCAGCCAGAGTTGGCCTGACATTCTGCTGCACTTGTTGAATTGACATTGGCAACTCTTCATGTTCCAGTGCGTTTAACCCAGGGGGCGCTATTGAGACACAAAACAGAGTAATCTGTATGTGTAGTTCTTTGGAAAATTGAGTTACAATGAAAAGTAATGATGCAAAGACATATGCATTATGCTCACCATCAATGCCCTGTAAGTGACGCCTGTGGCCGTTTCTCTGTGTGTATCTGTGTGATGAGCTGTTGTAGCGTTGAGGGGCTGTGACTCGTGTCTGCTTCCGTTCAGGACAGTACCTCAGCAAGAACAGGGCCAGTAAGGTGACGAGGGTGGCAAAGAGGAGCAACGTAGGGACGATTATCACGGCCTGCTGATGCTCCCTTATTACTGAGAAGGAAAGAGAAGAAGGTCGTGTGTAAATGTCAGGTCCAGGATGAAGCAATGCAATTTTAACATTGTGTAGTATCAGGCTGATAGCATGAAGTAAAGTGACAGAGTGGCTTGATGAGGAAGACGTCAGGAGAGTGATGCTCCTACAGTTCTCATGCATTTGTGTCTCAGATGGATTTTCATATACACAACCTCCTAATTTCACTGTGCTTACAGTTGTGCAGGTTTGGTTTCAGTGTTCTGCTTAGGGCACTGTGACAGGACAAATATGTTGGCTGTTAAGATGGTTGCACCTCTGAAGTGTTGACAGGATGTTCTATCTTAACATTACATCATACTCCATTTACAACAGTGTTGATATATTGATATATAGCTAGGTGACTTAGTAATTTTGTAAAGCATATCAGTATTTGAATGCAACTATCAGTAGCGTCAGATGCCTCAGTTATGTAATGATCCATTTCCAGCCAAAACAGTGCAGAAAATAATCATGTTTATTGAGTTGTAGTCACTTGGACAAACAGGTCGTTCTTTAATCCAGTCCTTTTTTACTGTGCTTTTCATCACTATGATAATGAGGCTACCTGTGGACAGCGTTTATCATAATTGCTTGTCATTGTCATGTCATTATACTGCTTGCTGCCTCTTCCTTACTTGGTTGATTTAGGAAAAACTGCTTTTCTCCTGCTGCATTGTGGCTGTACTGTCAACATAACACAGTTAGGCAGTAATTAGACAGTGAGAATGTCAAGATGTGGCAGAATGAGTCATGCACTGACACTCAGAGTAAGAGATTTTGACATTACCACTGTAATGTTTTATTTGCACGTTATTGAGCAGGAAATGTGTAAATGGTTTTACCCATCATTAAATGATTGGATAATTTTGTATTAATTATTTCATTGCTGTCATTTATTTAGTCTTCCATTTTATCATATCAACTATGTCTTTCCTTCATATTGGTCCTTCACTGACAACCTGTTTAATGCAATGCTCTGAGTAGACACACACCCTTGTATAACATTAGTACAATGGCATGTTAACTAGAGCAGAAGTCATAAAATCCATCATCTTACACACCTTCTCTTGAAATCCTGAATCGAATCCAGTCTTGTTCAAAAGAAGAAACTGAAATGTAAATCCCCTGGTATGTGAACATGTTGTGGTCTGGTTTTGGCACATTCTTTGGTGTGGTGAGTATAATGCTTTTATAAATCATTTCATGTCAGTCTCATTAAAGACTTGGTCACAGCTTGAATTTTCAACACCACAAAAGCCCAGCGTTTTAGTCTGTTTACACTCAATTTCATGTTTTTTTAAGTGAAGCATTTCAATTCTGTTCTACTGGTAATTGAGCAAATATTTAACTTAAATTAAATATGATCTGTAAGTATCTTAACTGTGTTTTATGATGTAACTGAAAATACAGAATAAGAAGTTAAGAGGAAGCATTTACTGCCTGGAATGCTGGGAAAAACCCACTGAGGTTTTCTAAACATTAGGGTATGCTCCACAAAACATTCAACAGTAATGTAGAATAAAAGATCTGTAGTTAAGCTACAGATATAATAATTAAGTGCATGAGCACAAAGACTTCCCAGAAGTATCAGTGAGTCAGCAGAAATAATTTCATATGATTGTGAAATGACACATCACTCTGAGCTCCAGTGGTTCATGTGACATTATCTGGAGGCTGAATGTTACAACATCACTGTACTCTGTAACTGGCAGTTTTGTAATTACATTGATGAACATAATAATCTGGTTTATGGTTGATAAATACTAAGACATAGTCACATTTGAAAAAATGATATCCAGAATTTAATATCTCGATGCACTCCAGTCCAAATAACACGATATACAATATTATCATGTATATATTATTATATTTTTAGGTTTCATTTTTTAAAATAATACACAATTATAGTTTGTATTTTATATTGTACTTTATCTTTCAGGTATAAGCGATACTGCCACTAAACAGCAGTTCAAAGTTTTATTTGTCACATGCCAAGGTAGAATTAACAGTAACCAAAGCAGTGAAATGTCAGACTCAGCAGCAGGGCCAAAAAAGAGAGAGTGGAGAGTTGTAAAGGTAAAAGAAAAGGGGCTGATGTGATGCTCGTAATAACAGAAGAAGAGTGAGCAAAAGGTAGATCTAACCTGAACTGCCAAATACTGAAACATGGGTATGTTTCAGGTTTCAGAGAAAGCACATTAGCAGAGGAGAGGGTGAATAAGAAGATGAGAGTAAAGGAAAAGACAGGTGAGAGACATAAGAGAAGACAGTTTGAGGAGGAGGGATAGGAAGGGAGAAAGGGTAGGAGCTGATGATAAGGAGTTCAAGCGTTGTGTCCTTACTACAGAGGGTGTCGTCCGGTGCACACAGATTATCGGCCGTGGAGTTGGATGACATGCTGGAGAGGAAGAGAGGAACACAGACAGATCCACATTACTATCAGCAGGAGGAACAGATCAGCATTACCTCTGCTCAGCAGCCTCCTGAAATCCCCTAAGCTGAGACAGAGCTACGCAGCATCTGATAACTGTATATAGAAGCTGGATGAAGTAGCTGGTTCAGAGTTTTATAGTGCTTAACAAGCTCTCGGTGCAGTTCAGTAAACAGCAGCACACGCCCAGAGAAAGGCAGACTGTTAGAGATCAACTTCTAGAAAATAAGTATTTACTGTGGTCATTTTTATCTCCCCTTACACAGCAAATGTAAACCGTGCCCTTTTTTATCTGGACTCACATAGCAAATACTAAAAGGAGTGTTCGATGACTGATTATCTGCATGTATAGTTAACCTGCTATCAGTTACACACATAATAAAGAAGCAGAGATCAGTGTTACATCAGTCAGTAGCGACCTAAAAGCCCTGGAGGGATAAACTGGCATTCAGCAGCCCATTGACCTCGTTAAATCACACACATTATATAGGCAGACATTTCATCTTAACATTTCCTGAGAACTGTTATTTATTTATTCTAAAGTGTTATTTTTACTGTATGATATGTTATTGCTTCTAATGAACGGCCTCCTGTATATAAGGAGTAGCTGATGTGTTGGTTGTTTAGCTCGAGTTTTTCAGTGAGAGTCTGGGATCCTTTCTGTGTTGTTTGTCCTACTTTTAAAAAGTCAGCAATAAGTCATGTGTCAAGACAGCTTCATGGTAACTACAGAAATATTCCTGTGAAAGTCCCAAGCTAAGAGGGAAACAAGTTGTCCTGTATTCTCACAACTTTTACTTGTTAATAATGTGAATGGCCAGTACTACCCTATCTTCCTGCTTCCTTTTCACCATGGATTCATTCTGCTATTGCATGTGCAGTTGGTTCTTGAAAAAGCCTGTATTGTTTGTGATCAGGCTTAGGTTGATAATCGGTAATATTGAATATTGCGATATTTCCCCCACCATATGCAACATTTTTCATGATATAAATTTTACTTTTTATTTTTTTGCAGTGTTGCCCAGTCTGCCCTGCTGTCGAGTCTGACCCTCATTTCACTGCTTCGCTACCTGTACATTCTACCATGGCATGTGACAAATGAAAACTTGAACTACTGTTTAGTGACAACATTGCTTATACCTTAATATCCTTCGGAAACCAAATTTCTTTCAGAATAATAATAATTATTCTAACCCTAACCCTAACCCAAAGTTGAAGTTGAAGTTGAAACATAAAATACAATAATATAATTAGTTATTATAAAAAAACAAAAAAAAACCATGAAATATTAAATACAACAATATAATTATCATTATTGCCTAAAAAACACACACACAATAATATAATATATCTCAATATTTCGGCTGGACTTGATCGACATATTATACACTGTTGCTCATAAAGTTGGAATAAAATATTTTTTTCCTTTTTCCATGAAATGATTGTGACAATGTGATTTATTTCATTGTACCTGGGTAATTGGGACACATAATGTAATCATTGCACCTGGTCAAAAGTGATTACTGATGCATTTAAATAGGAATAAACAGAGGATTGTGTCAGAAAACAAAATTATTCCAACTTTATGGGCGACAGTATATTTTGGATATTGCCCAAAACTATTGGTGACGTAGTAAGGCTTTGGAAAAGTCTCAATGCTTTAAAACCCCAGAAACTGTGTATATTTCATTCTCACTGTATGAGCAGCTTTCACACTGTAACTTTTACAAATGAGCAGATGAAAGACAGGCAGTAACTTCTTAGTGACAGTAACTAACTCAGTGGCAGGACACAATAATAAAGGGAAGTGAAATACATTAAAATGTCACAGATGGAGAACATGAAGCTACAGGGGAAGTGACAGAGAGTGTGTGTGTTTGTCTGCAAACATCCTCAGAGCACATTTGAACCTGTATATTTGTGCTTTTCAAACAATCAAATTTTACACAGCTAGTGGATCACATATTCAAATCAGGGCAGGACACTCATCTAAGATTGACGAACACAATTCGCTGCTTCCTGGATGCCACGGGAAAACACTTTGTAACTGCCAAGTGGAGGAACGTTAACGGGCATCCTCCTGTCCATCTAATTTGTTTAACAAATGTACTTAAGTGTGATGTTTCTGTCGGCTTAGTAGAATAAAAACATTGCTTCCTTGAGGTTACAGTATCAGGCTACAGGTAGCCTCCAGGTTAAAACCCACTTTCACTTATTATTATCCAGGTAATGAAATAGTCCTGATTTGATGAAGTAACAGAAATGAGGTCAAGCTCAATCTTTGTTCACTATTGAATTCTGATAAGCCATTACACATAATTTAAGGCCTATTATTTCTGAATAACAATCAGATGATTCAGATTAAATCATTACTGCACAGTTACAATGTCAAATTGATGATTTTTTCCATTTGGCAGTAACTTCTTGGACAGTTTGTATCGTCAAATAATACTTAAGAAATTGTTCTCATGCCTACCTTGTCCTTTTCTGTCATTCAAAGATTGTTTCACCAAATACAGCTCAACGCATGTAATGTACACCACAGGCCGTTGTGGTGATGTAATGGTAGTATTAGCATTAGAGTGAAGATGACAAATGTAAGCTGCAGCACAGGTATGGAGTGTGTGACTTGACGCAGTGTTATCCACACCTCAGAGAAGGGAAACAATCTTATTATAGAGTGTACTCTCAGTGTGACACATGCACACTGACACACCCTTTAAAAGTCTGTAGTAAGCATTTTTGGAGACAAAACACACAGAAACTTTCCTTTACCCTTTAAATGGCATGGATGTCACTGAACAGGTTTGTCTGCATGGTTCTCACATTCCCAGTAACTCTCCCACAACAACACATACCTGCATGCACAACATGCCACCAGGCCATCTCACAACACACACACAGACACACAGACACCCACAATGAGAACAGACACTGAAAATATGCTGTTAAAGACACACAGACATATGCTTTCAAAACGGTTGGTCAGAGCACACAGGCACATTTAATGTTTAAGGATGCACAAGTCACATAGGATAATGCAACAAATATTAAAGTTATACAGAGATACTGTCATGTTCACACCCACAGTTTAATTTATCTCAGTCTGTCTCATATGTTTTTTTTTTTTTCATCTTACCTGGCTGACTCTGTGAGACTGTTCAGGTGTCAAACTCTGTGTGCTCCTTGTATCCAAAACACCCTGTGAGCCATGTAAATGTGGAGTTAGAAGACAAATTCAAGTCCAAGTCTCAGTTTTCATGTTTTCCTGGACAGTCTGCAGTAAATAGTGATATCCACAGGAAGACACATTTCCACTGTTGATGGTAGAATCTGTTTCTATTTTGCTGTCACAAGCTTGGTGTTTTCACACTCGTGTCTTTCCTCCTCTCTCTCTCTCTCTCTCTCTCTCTCTCTCTCTCTCTCTCTCTCTCTCTCTCTCAGGTTGGCCACACCCACTCCTCTTATGACCTGCAAACAGCTTGGAGTTAGTATTGTATTTGCTGTGTCCATGTAGTTAAGCGTGTCCGTTCATGTGTTTGTGTATGTGCGTGTGTGTGTTGAGTATCCAAACAGCTGGCTGTATTTGTCAACTTGACAGATGTGGGGTTACTAGGTGGAGGGGTAACATGAGCTGTTTTATTTTGCATCTTGTAATGGTCGAGGTGCCAAAAACAAGAAACTTCTATCCAAACAAATTACTGTTCAATGATATCTACTATAGGGCTGCAACAAGTATTTTCATTACTGCTTATTCTGACAATTATTTTCTGGCTTAATCCTTTAGTCTATGATGTCAAAAATGGGTTCACAACTTCCCAGAGGCTATGGAAAATGTCTTTAGTTTTCCTGTTTTGTGTGACTAACAGTCAAAAATATCCAATTTATTGGTGTACATGATAAATAAACAGCAAACTGTCACATCTTTTTTTTGGACATGTTTCTTAAAAAATTAGTTTTGCTGATTAATTTTGTGTTGATCGACTAATCAATTAATTGACTAGCTTTTGCAGCTCTATTATGCAGTTGTATAGAACTGATTGAAACAGCTTACAGCTCAGTAACAGCTGTGTTGTTGTGTTTGCTGTGCAGCTTATCAAGAAAATATTCCTGAAGTACCCAAAGGGGAAATTTTAGGAAAATCATCAGGAATGTTAGACTCCACAGTGCCTAAGGTTAGTCGTTAACACTCATCTACTATAATCAAACAATTAAAAAAGTATATTAAAATGGCATCTGTGATTATTTTTCTCCCTCAAACTCTCTTTGTAATTCATCACATTACCTAATGGAAATAATCTAATGTAGTTTGAACTCATAGTAAATACTAAATGTATTGTTGCTTTATCCTTTGCTCAAAGAGAGGTAAGAGAAGGTAACAGTAGATAATTGAGCACTGAAGCTGCTGTTGTACTGAAACACTGACACAGTGTTCAGTGGTTTATTTCCTGTGTTCATTCTGGCAAGATATTAAAGAAACAGACTCCAATGAACTCCTCACTTTTATTTGAGTTGAAAGGCGTGACTGCTGACACTAGGTGTGTGTGTGTGTGTGTGGTGTGTGTGTGTGTTGTGTGTGTGTGTGTGTGTGTGTGTGTGTGTGTTAGTGTGTGTGTGTGTGTGTGTGTGTGTGTGTGTGTGTGTGTGTGTGTGTGTGTGTGGTGGTGTGTGTTTGTGTGTGTGTGTGTGTGTGTGTGTGGCAATACTGTTGCTGGGACAACTCCACCCTCTTCCCTTTCAAATCAAGCTGGTGTGTGGACACACCCACAGACACTGATAGCACTTTGGTCATGTTTCCCTGTAGCTGCCATACTTATTCTTACCTGTACAACTAGAATGTTTTCACAAGGAAAATGGACTTCAAGATCCACTGAATTGACAGCTTGACGGTGAGCGTGTCTGATGCTCGGTGCTGGTGTGATCGTCACCAACAGTCACACAACGGTTACACAACATAGCTTGTTAAAGACATGTTATTTTGTGTGATGATGTGCCATGCTAGCTGTCAACCTGCATAATTGATTTTTGATTGGCTGACGCCTGTGCTGCCGCTTGACAAGTTGAACATTTCTCAACTTCTACGGCAAGCAAAGTGAAGCAACAGAACCATAATGCAGTTTGGCAACACATGACATCATCCCATTCAAAGTGGACGAGAAACATCTCCATTGAAACCTCCAACGTGTACATGTGAGTGTAGGGTCACACACAGGTGCTCTGACCAGGCAGTAGGAGTTGCTTGTGCAGCAACAAAGAAATTACTCTTGACTGGCTTCCCTCATGCAAACACAATAGTTGTGTTCGATGGAGCCTGAGCGGCTGTGCTATCATGGATTGATCCAGGTCTTTGCATTGGTGGGTGATTTCAACTCCCCCTCCACTACTCAGGCATCCCGTGTCTCTTTAAATGTTGAGCGACAAGTATTTGGTACAGTATGCTGAAATTTCTGGCATTTAGTCTGGTTCACTCCTGACTGAACTTCACAGGGGTGGGCAGTTAGCCTGGGGGAGTGGGGGGTGGGGGGTAACCCCAGCTGGAGCTAGTTTACACCATGTCAGACTATGTGTGTGTGCGTAAGAGAGAGAGAAATTGTGTGTGTGTGTGTGTGTGTGTGCCAGCGTCCTGGCTGGGTGTCCAGCGCAGTCCTGGTAATGCTGAGACAGACGGTGAGCGGGTGGGTTTATTTTTGGGTCAGTGACAGTGTGTCAATGGCCGCAGATGCGTCGGAAAGGAAGGCTCTGAGATACAAGCAAACCCTGGTCAGTGTCCCTCTCTTGTTGTTCTTCTTCTCTCTCTCTCTCTCTCTCTGTTGCAGCTTCTGTCGTTCTCTTTCCATCTGTCTGTCTCCACGTCAGCCTCTCTGTTGGATTCATTTCCCTCTGTTGTGTGTCCACAGTTTCCCTGAATCACTTGTGTTGTTCTTGCATGACGCACCTGTATTGGAAGTGCAAAGTACGTGTGCATGGACGGAGCCTAACTTGTGTGTGAGCTTGTGAATGAATCACATACTGTATGTGTGTGTGTGAGTGCTAGACATGGTGAAGACCAATTAGCTGCTGTATAACAACAGGGTTACGCACATGGTCACACAACAGGTGCTTAGACACTGTGCACCTCCTTCACCCCTGATCTTGGCATGCACATATACACATGCACACACATGCACATACACACTTTGACGCTGTCCTGCTGTTTCTTACTTTCTCTGCCAGCCACCTGTTTGCTACCCTTTCTGCGCCTCGTTTCTTAAGCCCTGGATGGTTTTAACATGTAGGGATGACTTCTTTGATATGTCTAACACTGTGTGTTTACATGTTTGTATGTGTGAAAGTTCATGTCCAACATGTGTCCTTGCATGTACATCTGTGTTCATCAACAGAATATGTGCATTCATATTCTTGTATGTGGGATTTTGTGTTGATTCCTTGGTTTGTGTGATTGTTCATTTGTGTGTGCTGGGTGACTGTCCATGCGTGTCCCAAAGACGGGAAACATGATCATGCATTTGCGGTGGTGCTAATCTTCACCATTCATGTGGGTACATGGTTACATGTATGTTTAGGGACAAGGCGGCGTGAAGGGTGTCCCAGAACATCTGGAGGATTTTCACCATGGCTGTGGGATATTCTGTTGGAGGACCCTGAATGTTTGTAGTTGTTCAGTTGTTTACATTGAAAAGTAGAAACACTTGTAGGTTGTTATGCAGTGTGATACAATAGTCCTGAAATGATTGTTTGTTGTGAGTTTCCTCTGGTGCTGAGCATAGGTTGTACTTCCACTAACAGAAACTGGGGAAAGACAGCAGGATGCTGCAGATCAGTCAGAAATAAAATGGCATTTTTATGATTAGATTTTTCACCATTTGTAATTTTTATTCACATCAGATCTTGTTGTGTTTTGTGTTAAATTCAAAGAAAATACTTATTTTCTCCCTTTGTTTTTTTCTCCGTATTCTGAATCATTGATCAGCTTTTGGTCTTTATTTCTTCATGTGAAATATACAAGGAGGGAAGCCAAGGGGCATATACAAAGTCCTCCCCAATAGAAAAAAAAATTGTGTAGTCATAAACAATTGACTAAAGAATTTCCCGATTACTTTGGACTCATCATCTTCTTCTTCTTCTTAAACAATGCAAAAACAAATGATTGGATGATTGGATTTTAATTTTATCCGTCTCATGAAGCTACAGTGGCTTCGGAAAGTGTTCAGTGTTTGTTTTGCCCATCGATCAGCACTCAATAAGCCATAATGACAAAGTAAAAACATGTTTTAGAAATGTTTTTGAAAACCATAAACTGAAATCTCTCTTTTACAAAACTATTCAGACCCTTAACTGTGGCTCAGAACTGTGACCAGGTGCTTCCTCTTCGCTTCAGTTTTCCTTGACATGTGTCTAGAACTCAGCGGCAAGGAGAGAGAATTGAGGGAATTGAATTCAGAATTGATGGAAGGACAAATGCAGCCAAGACAGGTACTGCAGTACAACAATGACCCGAAGCATACAGCCATGACAACGACCCGAAGCATACAGCCATGACAACACCCTGAAGCATACAGCCATGACAACAACCCCAAGCATACAGCTATGACAACAACCCCAAGCATACAGCCATGACAACAACCCGAAGCATACAGCCATGACAACACCCCGAAGCATACAGCCATGACAATGCTGGAGTGGCTTCAGGAAGAGTCTCTGACTGGCCTCAAGTGGCCCTGCCAAAGAGAAGAGAGACATGAAGATGGCAGTTCACAGACACTTCCAGTCCAACCTGATGGAGCTTTAGGGTGTTCGGCTAGGAGGAATGGGGTAAACTGCCCAAATCCAGATGTGCAAAGACAGAGACTTACCCAAGAAGTCTGTAATTACTGCCAAAGGGGCTTCTACAAAGTACTGACTTAAGGGTCTTTTGTAAATGAGAGATTTCAGTTCATAATTTTTAATAAATTGGCAAAAAGAGCATGTTTTCACTTTTTCATTATGGGTTATTGAGTGTAGATTATCCATTTAAGATTAAATATACATGTGTGAAAAAGGTGAAGGGCTTTGAATACTTTCTGAAGCCACTGTATATAGTCTAACGTAGCCCACATTTATTTCTGCATCCCTAACACTTGAATATTTCAATCTTCATCCAAGAAAAGTTTTGCATTTTGCAATCTGGAAAAGTTAATTTTAGAAATATAGAAACAATGTTTTTACCCTGAAACACTCAGTTGTATAAAGGTGTGTTTCACTCTACAGCCCTGGAAGACTAATTCATATAGCTGCAGAGCCTCTGTGGTGTTGATTGGCTGGTATGTGAGGGCTGGTGATCATGGTGACCTATAGAATTTAATGGTTGTTGAAACCCTACGCCTCTGGGTAGTCCAAAGAGTGCAAAGTCATCTAACCTGCGTATGTGTGAGTGTGCTTTTGAGGACTGCAGGCTGTGGTAACCCTGATGTTTATGCTGTCACCCCAGGGGGCAGGGCTCTAAACAGAAGTGTTGTGTTTGTGTGGGAGTTTTTGCTATTGTAGTTTTGAGTGCTTTGTGCGAGTGTGTTTGTGTCTTTGTGTTTGTGCATGTTTATGTCTTCAAAGGTCCGTTAGAGCTAATTGTCATTTGAAGATACTTCAAGTTGGAGCACAGACAGGGCCAAATTCAAAACATCAAAAAACAACACAAGAAACAAGTAAAAACACATAATGAAATCACTCCCCTCAATGCAGTCTGTTACAAAGACAGGACACCTCACCAGGGAGCTGGCAGTCATGTAGAGAATGTATGGAGTTAAACCCTTCTCTATTTTAGAAGACCTTCATATGCTGTATGTTTGACTTTAAATGGCAGCCTATAACAGCATGCACTCACATTCAGCTGCACACATGCAGCTCTGCACAGAGGTATGTGGACATCAGAGAACTGTTCAGTGACGTTCAGTGGAATTCATTCCTACAATGTGATATGATCCATTTTGGAAAAAAAATCAAGACTATTTACATTCTGTCAATATGAAAACAAAATAGTAGCCAGGTTTACATCCAAATGGTTTTCAAATTTTCACAAAATTTTCAGATAACTGGGAAAAGAAAATGCAAATTAATGAGCATTTACATCCACTGCAGTTTGGGGAATAGTAGGAGCTGGTTCATGGAGATAAACACTTGGTGGTGGTTCTCTCCGGTGCCATTAAAGGATTGCGGAAGAAGAAGAAGAGGGAGCAAAAAAATTATGTGATTAATTTTTCTTCTCCTCAGTGGAGTTTAAGTTACATTCTTTCTAATTGTTTCCAGTGTCATCTTTCTCCAAATATACCACAGAATGGTATATTTAAAAAAACCACAAATCAGCTCCATTAAACGTGCACATTACACTGCATACATTTAGTGACAATGGTCAGGGAACATGTGGCATGATGTATTACCTGCACATGGGATATAGTGGCTCTAAGAACAAGTTTTTGAAGTTGTTGGAAAAACAATTAATTAATTAATTTTGTCCAGATTAGTTCACTGCTTCTCATTATGGTATGTTATCAATAAACTTACACACATTTCCATTGCTCTTAATATATATGGCCTTATTTCATAGAGAACAGTCAGCCAAGAAACCAAGCCACACACCAAGTAGTCTGCCAGTCTTTATGCTACACTTGTTGTGCTTTTTGTACTTTGGTTTGTGTGTCTATATCCACTCTGGCCTTGTGCGGGTGGCTGCTTTGGGGGCTGGGGTGCATGGTTGAGGCTCGGTGTGAATAATAGTAATTACCTTTGTCTGTAAGGCATGTCTACAGAATGATTTATGGACATGTTTACTGATGAGGGTGTCTGGCAGGTATGTTCTTGACACTTGTTTTTTTTTGTCACAGTAATAAGATAAGCATCAACTCAAAGGTGATAATTTATTTGGAAAAAAAGATACACCTCCAAGTGTTTTTATTTTAATTGCCATTTAGTTTTGAGTTTATTAACTAGGTTTTCAGATTATTGGGGAAATCAGCTGTTTGTAGTAACTTTATCAGTTCACACTTCCTGTCCATACGTCCTTGAGGGACCAGAAGACAGCTGAAAGGTCGTAGAGACGGGGAGTAAAAGAGAGGGTGAGACATAGGAGAAACAGAGCAATATGATGAGGCACTGAAAGGTACACTGATGGTGAGAGAGAGGGAGAGAGGTGTGGGAAGTGTAATGAGGTATATTGGATCACACCGATACTAAATTTAGCACCGAGTTGTGTTTCACCGGCAAAGAGAGAGAGAGAGAGAGAGAGGGAAAGAAAGGAAGCGGAGTAGAGGGCAATGAAAGAAGGGGGTAAAGGGGTACAAGTGATTAGTGCAGAGTAGAGTTTCACTGGACCAGAGGGAAAACAGGAAGGAGAGGTGGAAAGATGTAAGGAAGGAAGGGTGGGGGTGAAGGGGTGAGGGGCAGTTTGTGTTTCCCAACCAAATCAAATAGAGATGTTAAGTTTATGTGGTTTTGGAGAAGTCAGTTGACTCCCACTTTATTTGTTATAATCTGGTTTCACCTTTGCTAATTTTTCTATAGATGAAGTTGGGCTTATTAATGAGGCATATATCATTTCTTTTAATATTAAATATTCAAAGTTAATAACATCCACCATGGCTTAGGTGTGTGCATCCCTAGTGCTTCCTATGTTATTGATTTATGATTAGATGCCTTGTTCATTTAGCCTGTTACCTTGTTAGCAAAGCTGAGGATAACGTTAACTAGTTGACTTTTTAAACTTATAATTCAGTGAATCTATAATTTTACATTTGTATATTGTATATTGGATATTCTGTTTGTGATTTGGCACATGTAAAAACCCTATCCACATTACAGTTCCAGTTAACTAATATAATAAACTGTGTTACTGACTATATCAACTGAAACCTGGGTGCCATGGAGTGAAAAACACCCTAGATTCCACTGGAAAAACTGTAGAACTGTAGAACATTATTTCGATTCATGTGGAAAAAAATACTTATTAATCATCCCATCAAGTAAATGCATCTATATGCAAGGTAGCAGTATGCAAGGGTACTGGGGTTGTGGAAAAAACAGTTACATGTTTTGGAGAACTGTTAATATGAAAACAAATATCCTTTTTATATATAATTAAGCATTATTTTCCACTTGTTGTTACATATTTAGTCATACCTTGTGCACAGTCACAGTGAACATTTTGACAGAATTCCAAAGTATTTAGAGCTGTCACTTTTTCCAGAAATGCAGTTTGAGTAAATGAGAACTAACATGTAAATTGTTTGAAGTTATTTAAACACATGTAACCTGGTCCAAAACTGTTTGATGCTCTATACCGGAGTACAAGGTGCCTCCTGTTGCACTTACACACTGTGTATTTTGAGTTTGGGCCTTCATTATTGATCATGAGCTGTGATAAAGCTGGTACATGGATCTTGAGATTATTCAGTCACATAAATTTTACAGATCGTAATATCATATTATTACATATAATTTATGATTCATAGTTGTTTTTTTGCCATGTTTGAACTGTAATTCTAATTTCAAAGAAAAAAGTGACAGTCCAAAAATAATCTAATGACAAGAAGAGCACAACAGCAATAATCAATGGTGAGAAAACCTGAAAATGCTGGGAACAGTTTTTTTACGCTTCTTGTGAACTTTTTTTTTTTTTAAAAGGCATCTCCTCCAAGTGTAGGTGTATCTCACCTAACTACACTGTTGCTTAGATCAGCAGAACAATAAAGTGTGTTTTATATTGAACATTAAGCATGTGAGCACCACCTAGCAAGTCAAGACACCTGTGGCTTCTATTGTGTGAGTTCTTATTATGTGTTGGCATTCAGTTACAGTACATTGTGTATTATGCTGCTCACATTTCACTGTGCATTGAGTGGCATCTCTGCTCACACAGCATCCCCAATACCTTATGAACGTGTGTGTGTGTGTGTGTGTGTGTGTGTGTGTGTGTGTGTGTGTGTGTGTGTGTGCGTGTGTGCGTGTGTGCGTGTGTGTGTGTCTGTGTGTGTGTGTGTGTGTAGACGTACGTGTCTAAATCCATCCATCCATCAATCTGTCTGTCCATGAACCTGCTAAATTAGAAGCTGTTGAAAGGTTACTGCACGGACATCCAAAGTGTCAGCACCAGACACAACTTCCCAGCTTGTCACTTGTATTCCTGGAGTGCTATTGTCTGCTGTTGATGTACCAAGAATATATTTATATATATGAGCCCCAATCGAATGCTTGTGGTACAGTGCTAGAATATTACACAGTGCTTGAGTGGTGTAGATCAATAAATACTTTCTGAGCTGATAGACAGCTGGCACACATTTGGAATCTATATATTTTTAGTGGACATTTATGACTATGGTGACCTCTGGTGTCCTTACATATTATTGTTTCAGTTGTCAAGGAGGCGTTTCCCTCTAAAATTAATACACATGAAATTGCAACATAAAAATGTGAAACCATGTTCATGGTGAAGCTAGTGCACTGTAAGGTTACAGTTTTACTACAAAGAAAAAAATGAATAAAAATGGTCATTATTCCTTCAAGTTAAATATTCTACAGTCCGTGAATTTTACTGATATAGAATTTTCTTTCTTTACTGTAAAAATTCTCAGCAGTTTACAGGTCTGAAATCATCATTCAAAGAATGAACATGATGCAATATAACCATCAACCCCACACGTCCACCTCAGCATCTACAAAGTGTATTTCATTACATTTTACAGTATCGAGACATTAAATCTTCTGTATCACCCAAGTGATATACAATAATATTGCAATATATGATAATATCACTGACATTATCGATGCTGCCACTAAACAGCAGTTTATAGTTTTATTTGTCACATGCCAAGTACAGTACGCAAAGCAGTGAAATGAGAGTCGGACTCGACAGCAGGGCAGACTGAGCAAAACTGAGAAAAAAAATTTGATATTATGAAAAATATTGCATATGGCAGGAAATATTGCAATGTTTGATATATAGATGGTTGTAAAGTCTTTATTCAAAATGCAGAGGAGAAAGAGAAAGCAGATGCTGTATATTGGGCTTATGTTGGAAGTGTTGCGAGTTCTTGTGTTAGAAGGAAAGGACAAACAGATGAAGGAGGCATCTCCTACTGAGCTGTTTGTGTTGGTGAAAGAGGGAGGGAGAGGGAGAGAAATGAGAATCAATCTCTTCCCCAGATGTCCCAGGCAGTTTTCGTGGAGTCTATCTGGAGGTGATAAATCTAGGGGCAGAGCCCATGTTTCCGCTTCCATTAGAGCTGTTTGGGTCAACACGTGGTCCCGTCTATTTTTAAAATGAACTCTTCTCTGCCAGAGTGCCAAAAGAGTCACACTCAACATGCTCACTTGCTGAAGAGCTACCTGTATTTGTTCATGTCTAATGAATGAATGCTGGGTATTCATATTAATTTGGTCTCTTGTGTACTAATAGATTAGTGGATTGATTTACTGATTGATTGATTGACAGCTCTATGGGGAGTACCAAGAGCACCAAGGAGGCTCTGGCAGACGGGAGGCCACACGCCTGCTGACAGAGAGACAGATCAAGAAACATGGCAACCATCCCCGCAGCCATGGGAGGACGCGGCATGGACATGGCCGTCGTGGCCAAAACGGATACCACAGTCGCCATCAGCATGGGTTTCACAGCAGGCAGAGGAGCAGGGGTCAGTCCAACATGGAGGCTGAGGCTGCTGATGAGCAAACAGGTGAACCTGACCTCACATCCTCTTTGAAGAAGAAGCGTTCCTACTCCAAGTGTCGAGGTGAGCAGCACTGAGGAAAGACAAAGAAGTAAGTAAATGGACAGATGCTTTATTACTCCTGTTTGTGAGCGTCTGCGATTTTTGTCAGACTGCATAGCACGGGTGCAGCTATTCCTTGTGACCAGGTTGGGAGAAGACTGGATCTTCCTGGTTCTGCTGGGCATCACAATGGCACTGGTCAGCTGGACAATGGACTACGCCAGCGCAAAGAGCCTGCAAGGTTGGATCACATCCCATTTTTCAAATATTTGCACAAGACAATTCTTCTCTCCCTTTCTCAATTATCTTTAATGCTCTTCTCATTCCATGCCCTTTCTCTTCTCCCAAAATCATTCATTTCTCTTTCCCTTCTTTTTTTCCTCCTTTCCCCCTCCGCTTCCACCTTTCTTGTCCCTTTCCTTCTTCCAATTCATCCTTCTTCAGCCTATAAATGGATTCATGGGGAGCTGAGGGGGAACATCCCCCTGCAGTTCCTGGCCTGGGTTTCATATCCCCTGATGTTCATCCTGTTCTCCTCCCTCTTCTGTCACCTGGTTTCTCCTCAAGCTATCGGTCTGTACCCCCTCCCTCCTCATGCTTCTCTGCTCTTCATCTGCCTGTAGTCTGTGGTGGAAGTTTTCCCAGTGATAACTTTCAGGTGTATCCAGTGCATATTAGATGATGTACATTTAAAATTTAGTCAATTTACTTTTGCACCAGTTAGTATTTTTCTATAATTTGAATATATAATTTCCTTTTGAATATAATTTCCCTTTCCAGCTCCAAACAAACTCTGTCTTGTGTTGTGTCCCAGGTTCTGGTATCCCAGAGTTGAAGACCATCCTGAGAGGTGTGGTGCTGAAGGAATATTTGACTCTCAAGGCCTTTGTTGCTAAAGTCATCGGTCTGACTGCGGCTCTGGGTAGTGGCATGCCTGTAGGCAAAGAGGTGAGTGAACACAGATAAAGCTGGGCCATCCACGTTTTTACACTGATTAATTAACAGTGTCTTGCCTTTGAAACAGCAGATTTTGGTCTCGTACAGTATGTACTGTGGTGCTTCATAACATAATTATAATAATTACAATTTCCTGTTGTGCTCTTCTTGTGCACTCAGGGCCCGTTTGTACACATTGCCAGTATCTGTGCTGCAGTTCTCAGCAGGTTCATGTCCTTCTTTTCAGGAGTTTATCAGGTAAGTTGATGTCAGGAACCATTTTCATTTACATTCAACTTTTAAGTGTGATTGTTAAAAACAGAAAAAATACTCCATGAGACATTCATCATTTATATATTGTTTTTCCATTGTCTCAACTCTTCCTCCTCCTACTCCTTTCTGGATCAGTAGAATCCATACTGTTATACAGACATCCTAACAGTGGGCTGCGCTGTCGGGGTGGGCTGCTGCTTTGGTACTCCACTTGGAGGTACACAGCCTTTTCCCTTTTCTGTTCTACTCTCTTGCATGTAAGATAGTCATGCCTCTGCATTAGGTATTTTCATATCTCACCAGCCCAAACTATACACTACATTCTGTTGTTATGAAATCAACACGTTTGTGTTTTTTTTTTTTTTTTTAAAGGTCCCATATTTTGCAATGTTCCAATGTTTTATTTGAAGTGTTGAAGGCTTCAAGCCTCTCTTCTGATTGGCTGACTGTTTTCTGAGTGATCCAATAAAAATATAGCAGATTTCAGGTAAACACTCAGAGAAACCAAATCCTGCAAGGTTGGATGATGGGTCCAGGTGGGCTGGACTTGAGGCATGGCTGAGGGTTGTGACTGTATAGTTGGGACATCACAAAGTTACAGAGGTCCTGACGGCTCATTTTAAGGCCCAGTTTCAGTTCAGTTAACTGTGTGCATTTCTCTGTGGACTGAGCGCATTGATACTTTTACAGTATTGATATACAACCTAGACCTGCTTTATAATCAAAAAAAGACATGGAAATCTACCTTATACTATATGTGACCTTTAAAGTTACTACTTAATTTGCTCCATTTTACAGGAAATATCAGGTTGTTTGCATGTAGCTTTCTTCATGGCTGATGACTGTTTTTTTTTTTTTTTTTTTGTCCACTAGGTGTGCTCTTCAGCATTGAGGTTACATCCACCTACTTTGCTGTAAGAAACTACTGGAGAGGATACTTTGCTGCTACATTTAGTGCCTTCATATTCAGAGTGTTATCCGTGTTTAACAAAGATGCAGGTATGGACGGGAGGGAAAGTATTTATGACGACACAGTCATTGCAAATGTTGTATTTTTGTGTTGTCATTTTCTCATTGTCAAATACACATGAGCTAGAAGGCACCCTTACCTCAATGTCCATCACCTATGTGTCTAAGGCAATTGCAATATCTTTTCAGTGACACCGATTTGATGTATGCTCTGTGAACATGTCATATATTTTCCACTAGATGGTGTCCTCCTCCATCATGTAGCAACATAGTGTTTTAATGCCTGACTGAGGTTACTAAGGTGTCAGACCAAGCTCCCCATGAATCCATTTCTAGACAAACCAACAAATGTCTTTGTTATTTCACTGTGTCACGGTGTCCCATGTGGCTGCATAACAAGAAAGTTGAGCAGTACTGCGAAATATAGAAATTATGTACAACCTTTTTTTATCTGGTTCTATTAAATATCGACAGCAGCTGCTGCTGTAAAGAAAATGATTTATTTGTTGTCAAACTAAATCCTATTTTTGAAATGCTTAAGAGATGTGTCCCATATTTAGATCACTGTGAACTGACTGTATGAATTTCACCTCCTCATCCTCTCTTCGTCTTACAGTAACCATCACTGCTCTGTTCAGGACAAACTTTCGTATGGATTTCCCCTTTGACCTGCAGGAGCTGCCGGCATTTGCCATCATCGGGTGAGCAACTGGAAAACTGAGGCAAAAACACATATGGCAGCATTTGTGTGTGTGTGTGTGTGTGTGTGTGTGTGTGTGTGTGTGTGTGTGTGTGTGTGTGTGTGCCCTTCTGCACTGTGTGTGTTTCTAAACTTTGCAATGGAAATGTCCTAAAGTAAAATTTGGAGGTTAATAAGTCAGACTTTATGCAAATGTAGCATTTGATAAATGGAGAGTCCAATTTATTAGTTGACCATCGACCTCAGGGGAGGACAGAGAGAGACACACAGAGCACAGGTGACGTCTTCATGGGATGTTGCTCTGCCAAACCTGGCTTTATCTTAAATTTGTCACTAAACTGTCAATGTAAAAAAAAAAAAAAAAAGAATTATCCACCATATAACAACGCATACAACATATATAAGTTACTTGGAACTTACATGACAGTGAGATCAGTTGTTATATTTTATAGAAGGAATCTTCAGGCTTTTATTTATTATGTATCTATAGTAGTATGAAAAGCATGAAAATAAATCACACATTTTTAGTCTTCACTCATGTTTGTTGTTAATCTTGCCCTGTCACTTTGTACCTTGTGATTAAGAACACATTCAAAGGGTGTTACAAATGAACAAATGACTTAATTTATCTAATGTGAGGTTTGTTTGTCTGTGCAGGATTTCCTGTGGGTTCCTGGGGGCATTCTTTGTTTATCTCAACAGACAGGTGGTGCTGTTCATGAGACGACCCAATGCTATGACCCGCTTCCTGACCAAACAGTGAGTCTCTGAGCGTCAGATACTGTAAATATTTGCTCAAATGTCTAAAAGTTATGGATTATCTTCGAACTCTTATACATAGAAATAACACAAAATGACACAAAATATAAATTGCTTCACTATATTTACTTTATATTTACTTTACTTCTGTCTTTGTACGAGTATGCATCTGTTGGTTACATGTTTGTCTTAACCCCTTGTGGCCTAGTTGTTTTGTTGACTACTGTAACACACAGGTATAATAAGGATTTGAATAATTCTGGATAATTATTTACGTTTACTGACTTTCCTTTTCTCTGTATTCCTTCCCAGTCGGCTGTTGTTTCCTGCTGTGGTAACGCTGGTCATCGCCACCTTGACCTTCCCACCTGGGTTCGGACAGTTCATGGCAGGAGAGGTCAGAGTTCATACCTTGTCCTCCCCTCTTGTATAAACAAAGGAGAATTCAGGACACAGAAATCTGTTTGTACCTGCACATTACGCAGACAGCAGCAAAGCGCTAATAAACAAAAATCAGCAGTAAATGCCACCCCACAAAAACTAACAGCTGTAACTAATTTGCATGTTGTAAAACTCCATGAGGCAAGGTATTTATGTAAACCTACACCTGCTCCAAAACAACACAGGACAAATGTGTGGTATCCAGTATCCATGTACAAGCAATGATGTGAAGTATCATAACCTAAAAGCTAAATCTGGATAGGCAGGTTTGAGCTGCTGTGTCCAGAGGAAGCTGGACTCACCAACCATCTCTCAGATCTTTTGTCTCCTTGGTTTCCTTTGGTATAAAACAGCATCACAGATCAGACTTGATAAATACGAGCCTGCTGTTTTCCCTTCACTGATGCTACATCACAGGATTTTTTGGTATTGAAGTAAACTGTGAACTGTTACTGCCACACTGAGCCACCAACATGAGCACTTGCCTTATGCACAGCAGGTTACATAAAGCGAGACGCCCTCATCTTTTTAATAATTGGGAGAAACATTTGAGATACAGGCTGTAAGCAGTAAGGCTTCAGCTTGAACCATGTATACTTGAATATTCTGAACAGCATCAGCATGTTAATGTGCATCTGTGGCCTTACTGTGATGTCAGTGTGTGTGTTTCTACATGAATGGAAGCGACATACCTCGTAGCCTTCTGTGCCGTGCGTACAAAGGGAGTTTTAAGGTGAAAGCTCAGACAGCCATGTATCAGAAACTCAGCCACCTAGAGCTAAGAGCTAATCATATGTTTCACAGACGCCCAGAATAGACCCCTTAGTGTGAACCAGGTGTGTGTGTGTGTGTGTGGGGGTTATATGCTATTGTAAGTGCATGTGCATCAGTCTCTGTGCATATGTCAGTAAGCAACACCTTAACATGTTTTTTTTTTGTGCCCTCAGTGTATATCCTCACACTCTCGTTGTAGAAATGTCTCACACCTTTTCAACTAACGCACAGCATCGTTTTCATACATCAGGGAGTGAGGTGATATCTAAATTCATATCATTTGACTTAGAAAGTAAAAATAGTTGCTGCAGAATGGATGCTCTGTATCTGACAGTGGATATAAAGCTTTTGGGGAATTAAATCCCTCCAATCCAACTTGATAGCACAGTGCAGAGTGACAGAAGAAGCAGCCCAACGAGAGGAGATTAAATGCTACATGGGTTTTGGACCAGGCATGAACCCACAACTTCAAAAAAAAAAAAGGCTACAGGAAAGCCTATTATTGCATCCAGCTCTGTGGAGGCCCACAGCAGCCTTTCACAGAGCAGACCCTCTACGTCTCCACTCACACACACACACACTACCAAACGGATGCTTTTCAGGGCCTCAATTCAACCCTCAACTCGAATAGGAAGTAGAAAAGTAGAAAAATTGAAATGACACTGGTGTTGTTTTCCCCCGTGGCAGCGTTATGCAGATGCAGGAGGCGCTGCAATTTGTTGCCTGTGAGCAAATTCAGAGTCATCTATGCAAATGTGGAGCAAAATGTTTGAAGTGAATTAGTCATTCATGAGTCATCTAAAGAGAATGAGTCATTGGACACGGCCACCCGTACCCGTCTGCTTCCAGCTCTCTGGATGACTTCCTGCCTGTTTATCCCACTAGACTTTCTTATCCATTTCCCCCTTGTTGCTTGTCCTCCCTTCGTTAAACTTCCCTCCTCTTCACCCATTTCCTCTTTCTCTTTCTCTCCTTCTCTCTCTCTTTTCATCCCTCTCTCTTTGGCATCTTCTCCCCACCCGACACCCCTGCCTTTTCTCCTTCTCTCCGTCTGTCCTACTCTGTCCTTTTTCACCCTTACACTTCCTTTTTACTCCCTTTCTCTCGTTCCCTCTTCCTACCCCACCTTTTTTGTTTATCTTGTGTTTTGCCTGTCATCACCTCATCACTTCTTCACTTCTTCCCTCTATATTTCTCTTCTACTCCCCCCATCTCTCCCCCTTTACTTCTCATTCACCCTTCCTTTCTCCCTCCTGACTGTCTCTCTTCAATTTCCCCCACCCTCATTCCCTCTTCCCTCACCCCTCTTGCCCACCCTGCTCACACCCTCACCTTGTCGTCGTCCTCTTCCTCCTTCATCCATCCCCTGTTCTCTCTTCCTCTCTGCCTCTCTCCTCTCCTCTCCAGCTGATGCCCAGGGAATGCATCAACTCTTTGTTTGATAACTTTACGTGGACGAAGATTTCGGGATCTCCTCCTCCGGTCGGTCTGGGCCGCTCCGCCGCCTGGCTGCACCCTGATGTCAGCGTCTTCATAATCCTGCTGCTCTTCTTCCTCATGAAGGTCTGTTTGCTGCTGGTAAACGTTTGTGTGTGTGTGTGTGTGTGTGTGTGTGTGTGTGTGTGTGTGTGTGTGTGTGTGTGTGTGTGTGTGTGTCCGGTGTGTGTGTGTGTGCTGGATTGAATAGGTGTTTGTGTGCAGGTCAAGTGTGTTTCATTGTTTGTGTGTGTGTGTGTTTCTGTGCAAGTGTGTATGTGTGAGAGTGTGTGTAGATGATGCATCTGCGTGTTTGTTTATGTGTGTGTGAAACTGAGTGTGACTATGTGTGTGTGTGTGTGTGTGTGTGTGTCTGTGTATTTGAGGCTGGCTCCACCTCGACGTCAGCATTTTCGTCATCATCCCTCTCCTTCTCATTTGCTGCAGGTCACTCATGTTGTGTGTTTTGGTGTCAGGGACATCTGTGTGTGTATGTGTGTGTGTATGTGTCTCTGTCTTCCTCCTTGTCTTCTTGTCCAAGGTCAACAGTGCTGGAAAGCTGCCAGCAGTTCAAGCTATCTTATGTTTTCTTTAAAGCAGCTGCACGCACACACACACACACACACACACGGACACACAAACCCTAGAGATTTACCATTCTCTCTATCCTCTTGGTTGTTTACTTAAATATTTCATGAGCATAGACTTGTGTACATAAATCTGGTGTAGGTGCTGGGTTGACTGTGAATCAGCAGAGAGTGGATGAAACTGCCTGTAAAGTGTAAAAATAATCCCGCAGAGAGCACACCGATGAACCAACACTATGAAAAACCCAAATAAACTTTGTTTACTAAATCACAATAACAAGGCAGCAACATAGACCAAGCTGAATGAGAATAAGCTGCAAATTTACTCTCATTGACAGGGACTGAGACCTATAACCTGACAGTTTCCTGTTGGGTTTGTACACAAACAGCTGTCTAGTGGGAGTCATGAGGTCTTATGCAGGCGCTGCACGGTCATGTAGTGCCCAGCGCCATTTTTTAAGACCACTCCGAAGAGCAGAAATTGCTCCCACCCATACAAATTATCGAGTGGTGTCATTAACATCCAGACAATGTCAGAGTGTAGGACTTCACAACAGTCAGACTGGATCAGTAGAGCTGAGAATAATTACACCCATTCCAAAAGCTGAACACCCTCAAACACAGTGAGGGAGAGAGCACACCAACACTGGCTGCAGCATGTTGCACCATCAGCTAATGAGCAGCAAAAAGAGGTGGCAATACATAACACTTTTCGTGGTCCCTGGATACTTCATAAAAATCTTCTCCTGTGAGGATTATAGTTTACGAGTTTGCTCAGGTCCTCTCAGGTAAACAGACGCAAGACCTGCACTGACAGACCATGACCTTACCAGACCCCGTTAAACTGAATATAATTTGGTTTTGGATATTAGGAACTCAATGAACCTGGGAAGATCTCCATCCCAGAGTCTTTCCACAGCCTCATTCTGTGGGTCTTACCATTTCCAATATAACAGGACAAGAAAAGACTGAGGTTGTTCCAAACACTTTATTGATCCTTTTCATTATTCCATATGGGCCTAATGCTTGAATATTTGATACCCTAGAATTTCTTTCTAAAATTATTTAGTGAAGCAAAAACAGGAGGGAAATAACTGACGCCATCAGTTTGACTTGAATTGTAATCAAGACACAAAGTCATGTCTCCAACAATTAAAGCACCTATGAAGGCAGAGTGGTGCCCTCCTTGTGTTCAGCCTCATGATATTCATGCTGTTTTTGTACTACTGTCAATCTGTCCACCCCCAGTATTGTTCTTCATTTAGACACGGTGTGACCTGAGCTTCAGAGTTCACGTGTTTCATGTATGAAAAACAGAGACAGACAAAGTCTGGTCTCTAAATACCCTCGAGTCCTGAACCGCCTACAGTCTGTTGGCTGCTGCAGAAAACAGCACCAAGCTGTTGCTGCCTCCTGTTTGCTGAAAATCTGCAGCTCCTCAAGGGCTTAAGAAGAGAACAGTGAGGAAGTAGGGAAACTGGGAAAGCAGGTTTTGTTCTGGGAATTTCAGATAGAGACAAACCAAGTCTGATGCCTGCATCTTAATCACCAGAAACACCTGTGAATTATCTCAAACTATGAGCAGAGAAATGGAAACTTAATAGAGAGTGAATGACCACACCTAAGACTTCAAAATGGCCCCCAAACATTTTTCCTAGATCCAAACTGTGCAGATCAGATTTCCAAAATAACCCCAAAAGAGAGAAATCACTATCGTCATCATCATTTTCCCCTTGCACTCCACAAAAGTCAACCTCAGTCTGTTTTTCTGCTCTGTCTAAAGTCAAATTAGGCAGAAATGCCACATAAATAATCTCTTCAACAGGATATTAAATCCTGTCACTCATACACTGTGTTGGTTTAGTCATGGAGCTTCTCAGTTGAGCAGAGTGGCTCCCTGTAGTGAGAACTTAATTCAACCAAAACTGAGAGCAGCTGGTTAGTAAAACTCCTATCACAACACACAGAAACACATCTGTGTTGTTCTGCTTTTCTGTTGCCCTCTGCTGCTGTCAGCATCACACACTCAAACACACACTCTGGATCTGCCTCTCTCAACTGCGTTTATGCTTCTGTCTGCCTGTTTCCTTTTCTCCCTTTGTCCTGCAAATGTCCAGTTAAGTGCAAGTTAGCTACGTTGTAATGAAGCAAAAAAAAAAAAGAAGAAAGAAGTAATGCTGAATATAAAAGTACTTTAACACTGGTAGTTCCATTCAAATATTGGCGCATTTTGCCTGAAAATTTGATAAAATGAATATGGTCCTATCTGTACAACTGGAAGAAAATGTAAAGATGACATTATAAATGACAACCTCTCAGAAAATGGGAGAGATTAAATGCCTAATCTGCAGAGAATAACATTAACAATGTTTTATTTACAAGGAGGATAGTGGCAGAGGGGTGCTCACATGTGGTCCTGCATATGTCAAAAAAACCAACATTGCCTCCACCAGCGGTGGTAAACATCTGCACCTCGATGAGAGATTCTGGGATTCGTAGGTTGATTATTTACACAATGTTTGCTAACGAACAAACTCCTTTTAGCTTGTGCACAACTGCAAACAAGATTTGGTGTAGGCGATGTTGTGTGATTTGTTTGCTTCCCCAGTGGGACTCAAACTTAAGTGTGAAAATTCAAGATAAACATAGAAATTTGAGCATGAAAGATCATTCATGACCCCAGAAGTAGTGGTTAAGATTAATCTTTCAAACAGCTTAGAAGAAGATTTTCAGAACCCCTACACAGTTTATATTCTATATAGTGATAGAGGAAGTTTAAAAAAAAAAAATGTTTATATGTGCGGCTTTTCAACAGGTGTTCATATCAGTCTGTGACTATTAGACTTGGGCTGACATTCATTAAGATTGAATATTGCAATATTTCCCACATTTGCAACATTTATCATAATATCGAAAAAAAAAAGTTTTGCAGTTGCGACCAGTCTGTGTCCAACCCTCATCTCACTGCTTTGTTTACTATACATTGTAGCATCACTTATACTTGAAACACAAAATATAATAATATAATTATATATAATATTAAAAAAACACCTGAAACATAATAATATAATTAAATGATTTTTTTTTTTTATTACTCTGTGATAATATCATATATCACGATATTTGGGCTGGACTGTGTTGAGCCTAATGACTGTAACTATTTTTATTACTTTACATCTCTGTCTTCATCATACATGAGCAGGCAGTCGTATTTCCTCTTTATTTTTACTCCATCTCCAAATTGTTCTCTATCAAACTCTGTGTCGCAGTGTTTCTACTCCCATCTGTCTCAGGATTTGTGACACTGATGACGGAGTGTGTGCTGAATGCTGAATGCCTGTGTGTGTGTGTGTGTGTGTGTGTGTGTGTGTGTGTGTGTGTGTGTGTGTTTGTTCGTGATTGTGTTTGACTGTCAAGATTAAATGAGAGAGAAGAAGACAGTGAGCGCATTCCTCTCTGTCATCAGTATAGCAGCCACCCTGTGAGAGACATGCTAATGAGTTTTTATCTTGTACCACAGTAATTAAGTTCTCAAACGATGATGACAAATGATGTATACAATGGTAATCTGGACTGTTAAAATGCTAATGTAGTGTTTCTCTCCAATCCCTTCAAATCAAAATGAAAAAGCCCAGCATGTGGTGTCTGTGAAGGGAAAGGAAAACACTCTCACTCACTCACTCACTCACACACACACACACACACACACACACACACACCCACCCCAGAACTCCAGAGCTTGTATAAAGGTAATCATTATCATTGATGAGCTGTCTGCAGCCAAGAACAAAACGCATTATTAGGTGAGCTATTTTGAAGTTACATTCTGATAAATACACAAATTGTTTGGAGACAAACAGTGGAAGTGACATCTGAAGGGTGAGTTTAGCTTTAATTTACTGTGCAGGGGAGTTCACACGCTCACACGCTTCACCCACTCAGTCCCACACAGTCGCACATTCATGTGGGAGCCACCCGGTTACAGCTACAGCACCATCCTCTGCAGCTTCACCGGAGCAGCTGTTGATTAAGTGCCTTGCTCAAGGACACCCAAGGGTGATTGGGTTCCCTCCCCCACCACACGCACACATTTTCCAGATTCTCCACTTCTGCAACTCATCAAGCCATGACCAAATAGGAGGATTTTTTTTCTCCTACTCAAATACAAACACGGAGACAATGATAGCTCAAAAGGGCGCAGGGACTTTACATCGCTCCTGTTGCTATGCAACACAACATCTCAGAAGCGATCTAATTAGTACTGGGTTGGTAACCTGCCACAACAAAGGAGATAATATTGAAGATGAAAGCAGGAAACAGAAAAATAGCTGTTCACCTGTTTGCTCTTAAGAGATTGTATGAGATTGAGACTTTTTTTCTCCTGGAACAGTTTGACTGACTTGTTCAGCTGCAGTGGTGAAACTGATGTAATATTTGGGCACAAAATTCAGCTTCATTAACACACAGCTCTCTGGCCTGTATTTTGATGCTGTCCACAGGTGGTTTTTAACAGTGGAGCCTGTTCTGCAGTCAAAGCACATACATCCTGAGATTCCCTGTCTGAATGTTGTTGAATGTTGTTTGTCGTCCTGCAGTTCTGGATGTCTGCCGTGGCCACCACCATGCCCATTCCATCTGGAGCCTTCATGCCTGTCTTCATACTGGGTGAGCGGACACACAGTGGCCTTTAGAGACTGTAGTTGAGCCTGCAGTGATCTTGGCTACAATATCCTTTTGGTGTAGAGTTTGTGATTATTATTAATTGTGATTTGTCCTCATATTAAGGAATGTGTTTTGACTATTTTCAGTCATTGCTGTCGTACTTAAAGGTCCCATATTTTAGAAAGTGAGCTTCTCATGTCATCTTTGATTATAAAGCAGGTTTTGGTTCCGTATTAATACTGTGAAAGTATCAGAGCACTGTCAGTCTTTAACCTTTAAGATTTATTTTGAGAAACTGAATTCAGGAAATATGCTGTGGAGCTATACATGATGAATCATGCCGCCTAAGTCCTATTAGAAAATGTTGTTTTTCCCCCTTGTTCAGTGACAGTGTGTCTGACCAGGCTGGTTTTATGTTCCAAAAGTTCTTTGTTTCATTAACTTTCATATTAGATTTCAGTTTTTTATCATTCAGATCAACATTTTAGGAATCTGTGTTTATTTGCAGTAGTTTGCAGTTCATCTATTGTTTTTTTTGTTGAGAAGCGCTTGGAGCTTAATCCATACCAGTGGTTCACTTTAAAATATTAATCTTTACCAACCGTAAACAACTTCAAATGAATAAATTCAACCCCAGAGATGGGTAGGTCATATCATGTGTGTGTATTTCGCGATGGTTTGAAAATGCAGCCTTTTGCACAGTCACGCACCACGGTGGCAGAAAGCATGAAATTTTAACAGTTTTTTTTAAATGAGAGCATCATGAAAAATGAAAGCACCAGAAAACAGGTTTTTTTCTCTCACAGTGATGATGTTTTGACCTTATGTTTTTTTTTTTTTTTAAAGTATATTTTTTGGGCTTTTTATGCCTTTATTTGATAGTGCAGTAGAGAGAGACAGGAAATGGGGAGGCAGAGAGAGGGGGAATGACATGCAGCAAAGGCCGTCCGATGCGGGACTCGAACCGGGGCCAACTGCAGCGAGGACTGTGGCCTCTACACCATGGGACCTACACTAGACCACCACGCCACACGACGCCCCCTGACCTTATGTTTTTTAGTGACTTGGAAAATTTGAGGGGGTTTAGGAGTTTCCTGTCTGCTGTCTAATACCTGTAAAATGGAATAACAGACCAGTAGATGCTACATAGCATTTCTGAACAGGCCTGTTGTTGCAAATAGGAAGTTGTTTTCTGTCTGTCCTCATCTACTCTGGCGTCTTTACTGAAGAGGATAATCATGTTGGAAGTGATTTCTTTCATCAGCCTCTCCACCATCTGCTGTCACTAGAAACACTGAAACACTTTGTGATATACTGTACATTGAAAAATCAAGTTGAGAGACCAATAGAGGCTGACTGTTATATTTGTGTTTGTTTATTATTCTTACAGGTGTCTCAGAATTGTTGAGATTATGATTTAATTACAGTAGGAAAAGCCACTTATTGAAATCTGTAAAATGGAATCTTTTATTTTGAAGGTACAGTTTGAAGTGTAATCTGTGACTCCTTTTCTCCTCATGCAGGAGCTGCTTTCGGCAGGCTGGTAGGGGAGATCATGGCCACCCTGTTTCCTCATGGGATTGTGTTTGACGGCATCCTTTACCGCATCATCCCTGGAGGGTACGCAGTCATTGGTTAGTCTTCCTTTCCTCCTCTTAGCAACCTCCCCCCTCTCCTTAGTTTAATCACAGTTTTGTCAGTGTACATACACCTGCAACTTGTGTTCACCTCCCTCTGACCTCCAGTTCTGACTAGCTGTTGACAGGGCAAGACTAACCTGCTGGGGTAATTACCAAAGATGTGACAGTATATGATGTAATCAAGGCACAATACAACAATATTTAGCATATAACCATCAATCAATGTTGCATATTTTAAAAATCATATCACTGTAGCCTTACTGTCAAGCTGTCCATCCCTCCCTCCTCTCACCCCTTCCCTGTCCTCCTCTTCCTCCTCCTTAACTGTCAACCTCCTGCGCCCTCAGCTTGTCAGCAGTGGCCACGATGTCCTCTTCCTTCTCTTCTGTCACTTCTCCCGTCCTCGCTCTCCTTCTAACTTCTCCTCCTCTTCTCCTGTCAACCTCTCTGGCCCTCCAGTTGTCACTCGTTGTCAAGTCGTCCTCCCCACCTAATCTTCCTCATCTCCCTCCCCTCCTTTGTCATCCTCTCCTTCCTCTTCCTCCTCTCCGTCAGAGCATGTGGTCGCTTTGCTCTGACAGTTAAATGTCACCGTCGGTTCCCTCTGCTGTCCCCTCCCCAGCCACTGACCCAGAAACGTGGCCTTCCTTCACTCCCCATCTTGTTGCCCTACAAAGCCCATCCCTCCTCTCTCTACCTTGATCTTTCCTTCATTCCTTCCTTCCTACCTCATGTTTTTCCTGCCCTTCCTGTTTCTTCCTTTGTTTGATTCATCTTTTTATTCTTCCCGTTATCTTTCTCTCTTCAATGTTTTCCTGTGATCTTAGCTTGCTTCTGTCATGGTTTGCTATGGCAGACACCTTTTGTTAGTTTTGTTTGGACTTTTCGCACTTCCTGTTTTATTTTGTAATTGGTTTCCTTGTGTGTCTCAGTGTTTTGCTTCCTGTCTTGGTCCTGTTTTCGGTGTGGTGATTGTCTGCCCCGCCCTAATGTGTTTCACCTGTGTTCAATCACCCTTGCCTCCATTGTCTATATAGTCTTTGTGCTTCCCTTTGTCTGTGTCGGTTCGTCTGTTGATTTCTGGGTTTGTCCTCAGTCTGTTCAAGTCTGCTTTACCTTCGGTCTGTTCATGTTGCCTGTTCCTGTTTCTTGTTTAAGTTCCTGTGTTTCCCTGTGCTTGTTTTTTAAGTTCTTTTGTTAAATAAACCTTTTGCATCGTCTCCCAAGTGTTGGCTGCATTTGGGTCCTACTTACCACAAGACCCTGACAGCTTCCTGTCTTCCCATTAATCTGCTTTCTCTTCAGAACCTGCTCATGGAGTTTTTCTTTCCTGTTTCTCTCACTGTTTTTGCCTTTTACACTTAGCAACCCTTTCTCTGCCCTCCTCCCTCTTACCTTAATGTGTGATTCTCCTTTGTTTTATTTCTCTCTTTGATATTATTCATGTGCAGTCCCTCATTTATTTATCCTGCCCATTATTCTTTGACCACCTGCTCTTTTACCCTCTTCCTCACTTTTTTTTTATTATTCTCTCCCTGCCCATGTTTACATGTTAACTCCCTCTGTCCTGCCTCTTTTTCTTTCTCTCTGCTGCTTTCTCTTCTTTTCTTAATCCTCTCTCCCTCTACAATGATCTTTTCCCCTGTCCTCTCTCTTTGTTTACTCCCCATCCCTCACTGCTGTTTCCACCACCCGCTTTCCCTACCTCCCTCCCCTCATCATCCCATCCCATGTCTCTGACAGGAGCGGCAGCGTTGACTGGCGCGGTGACTCACACGGTGTCCACGGCGGTTATATGCTTTGAGCTGACAGGCCAGATCTCCCACATCCTGCCCATGATGGTGGCAGTAATCCTGGCCAACATGGTGGCCCAAGGCCTGCAGCCCTCCTTGTATGACTCCATCATCCAAGTCAAGAAGCTGCCATACTTGCCGGAGCTCGGCTTCGGACACATGAGGTGTGTGCTGATGTCACACACTAGATGTTTCCATGTTGGGGAATAACAAGGCTTGTATTTTAGGTCATGGCTTTCTTATATTGCTTTTGCATCAGTATAATGTTCTGTATGAAAACAACAAGCAAACAAAATTTCCCCTATGACCTTGCAACTGTGGGCAGACAAAAAATGAAGTCGGGTGGGGCAAGTGAGAGGATCAGGGAACCTTCCTTTAAAAGACTTTAAAGACAGAGGTGCTTAGTCAGTCTTAAAAGTTGAATTTTTGCTTCCAGTTAATGATTTTCTTCTAGAGTGCACTTTGAGGGCGTGCTTGTTTCTAAACATGAATTGGATGTATTTCTTAAACATAAGATAAGATAGTCCTTTAATAGTCCTGCAGTGGGGAAATTTGCAAACCTTGCAAACATGTGTAAACCAGTGTTAACAAGTATTTTCACTCCACTGCCCTGTTTGTGTGTCTGTCCCACAGCCAATACAACATCTTTGTTGGGGACATCATGGTGAGGAAGGTGAACTTTATATCGTCTGAGTCGACCTACAGAGAAGTCAAACTCCTGCTGGATTCCTCTTCACTCAAGTCAATCCCACTGGTCGACTCAAAAGGTAGAAGAGTTAACTGTGTTTTTAAATGTAACAGTTGCAATCCCAAAAAATGTAAAGAAAATGAGAAAGTTTTTCATTTTGCTCTCTCAAATCCAGATTGTACAGTTCCTATATCATTTACACACTAAGCTACACGAGTTTAATATCTAAAAGACACTACCTACTTAATGTTTTTGAAAATTCAATGAAACCAAGAAAATGAGCATGTTAGTTCAGCTATGAACAAGCTCTCTTTAGTCATCCAAGTCATTTTTCCTCCTACTTCCAGAGTCTATGATCCTTCTGGGCAGCGTCGACAGGTTGGAGCTTCTGGCTCTCTGTGATTGGTGGTTGTCACCAGAGAGGAGGCTCCTCATGCAGGTGAGGACCATACTATTTTCAGCTGGTGGTCAACGTTTTATTTAAGGCCTCCATGATATGTAGGAAAGTCCTTTGCAGCGATGGCTTTGTTTTGAATTATTGATGAATGACACTGATGTTGATTATTTTCTGTCCTTGTGTGAGATAACAGAGATCATAGTAACTGTTCTTCGTGTAACTCTGGCTCTTTGGAATATGGAATATTTTGATTTCTGTGGGCTTCATGAATGTGACGCCTTGGACCTGGTGGAAAGCCACTTGGTTTAATTTGGTGTTAACAAACGTTTTCTGTGAGCTGAAATGCTTTGGTATCATGAAGAGCAAGAACACATGCAGACAGTTAAAAGAAGAAATGTAAACACTCTTTTTTTTTTTTTAGTTATGACACCAGCTGGGAAAGTCAAACAGCCACATCTTTATTTCACTTAGAGTCTGAAAGGACAAACATAAGAACTGTGTAAAATTTGTTAATAGGAGTTCAAGCTGAGTTAGGTTGTGCAACTAAAAGTAAAGCACAGCTGTTAAACACAATGTCATAGTTTGTCATTTACACTGAATTCAGCTCTGATATTGTGACAACATCAGTCCATATTGACCTGTTTACCTGGATTTGGATTCAGGATCGCAGTCTGCAGGAACAGAACCAGTCTCAGAAACACAGCTGGGAGTCATTTGCCTTCGTAGATGAGGAGGAAGAGGAGGACGGAGAGAAGGTCAGACTCTAATTTGTAACCTCTGATATCAAACCATCAGCATTTTGTTTCCCTTTGAAGTGTACTGAACCTAAACAGTATATGGATGATAGCTTTATGTTTTTTCGTTGTTAACTGCCATCATTGTTGTTGTTGTTGTTGACTTTTCCATCTGCCACTACATTTTATTTGCCAAAAACACCACAGTTTGTTTTCATTTCAGTTTAAAACATTGTTATTTCATCTTTGAATTAAATGTCATGTCATTATCCAATAACTTTTAATATTTGTTTTCAAAGTGCTTTATTTATAACATTTACTTAGTTTAGTTAGTTTAGTTCTGGTTGTCGTCTGCAGGGCAGTCCAGTACAGGAGGAGAGGAACGGCCCCCTGCCTCCTGCAAAACCCCAGGAGCCTTCGTCAAACCACACTGCTCCTGTTCCTGGTGAGCTGAGAGGACTACACATTTCTGAGTACATTTTTAGTTTTACTTAACATTCCTACATTATCTCTAAAATATCTATAATGTTCTTGCTGTGATTATCAAAGGATAAAGACTTGACTTGCTCCAGTTTACTGCTTGTTTACCCTCAAATTAAGTTTCTGTTGGTGCCACCCTGACGTCCACTTTAATGTAGAAACAAATCAAACTGTGGAGGACAATCACAGTTTTTGATCTCTCCTCCTTAGCTCCGTTACACTTGGAGAGTTGTGTGGCATGCAGTCGAGGCTGGGGAACAAAAGCCTTATGGGGCTTGTCACAGTAATATTGATTCCTTCAGACAAGTTTTGCTCACTAGGATGATGTAATAGGATTTATTTTTTGCTATGTCTCCCCTACACAGAAAAAAAATGTCAACTGTTATGACTAAGCATTTAGTCAGAGCCCAGACGGTGCATGGAGCTCACTAGGTTCTCGTATGTGTTAAATACATCAGAGCCCAGAGGACACAAGCACATCTCGTTGGTGCTTAAGAAGTATGAAATGATGTTATACAACCTGTAGAAGAACGTACACTGGTCCAACACACTTTTAGCTGTGGAATGAGCCATATTTATATTTGTAAATATGTCACATAGGTGAGTTTAATGTTCCCTGTGGAGTTTTCGACTGTTGGAGCTATTGAGCAACACTCATTAGTCACTTTGTTGAATCTAGGACTCAAGGATGAACTGATTGGATTTTGATTGTCAAAGGTCAAGGTCATGGTGCCCTCACAAAATACGTCTTTGTTCAGTTCACAATAAAGTGATCCTATCAATCTCCATTCTTTGGGGCCATATGTGTGAATGGGGTGTATGAAGAGGAGTGTAAACAGGGATAGTAATGCAAAATGCAAAATATTCAAAAATAAGAATATGGATTAAACACCCTCTTTCACTTTCGCACTCTTTACCAAATCGACTTGAGCATGTTTGTTTATACACAGATGTTAAACCACTGGAATGAATAACTGCAACTAACAGGAGTGAGGGACGGTTTGGCAGCATGTTCACTGCAAGTGACCAGCTGGTGTGTGTGTGCGTGCGTGCGTGCGTGCGTGTGTGTGTGTGTGTGTGTGTGTGTGTGTGTCTGTCTGTCTGTCAGTAGCCTATCACACACAACAACAGTCAATCTCCCAGTGAAATGGTATCCAGGCAACAACAATAAGGAGTTGCTGGGGTTGCAGCAGTCTCTCTAAAACCTCCATTTGCAGTTTGGTTATTCGCTCCAAAGGCTTTAGGTTTGTATAATTTATTGACCTTCAGCCACTGTGTCTCCCTCTTTACCTCTCTCTCTCCCACACAGACAAAGGTCCTCTGCAGTCTGTGAGGAAAACACTCAGGAATCTCTTCACCCCTAAGAACAGACAGACGGAAGGACAGTCACAGGTGTGTGTGTGTTTGTCTATACAAGAACTGCAGTAAGTGTGCATTAGCCCACTCTGTGTGTCATGTTAGTAATCTTACATCTTGTGTGTGTGTCGACATTTCTTTGTGTTTTGTGTCTTTTTGAACCTCTGTGCCCTTTCCCTCTGCTCTCTAACTATTTAGAGATGTTGGCAGTGTACTCAGTAGCCAAGAAGTTTCCCCTTGTGTTATGAACCATTGAAATGCAAATAATACCTCGTCATTTTTGGCGATGCCAATCCCAAAACCCTGCACTTACACTGGCACTGCTGGGATATAAATATTTATTCATTATTTTATTTATTTTTTACAGGGTGAATTTTTCATTATGGGGTCTGCTTTCTATTCAGGCAAATACACACTTATCTGATTGACAGAGGCACATGAATACACAACTGCTCCCCGTCCTCAGACAAACTCCCCGAAGTCGAGCATCTTTCTTTCAACCTTGTCTCATATGGAAATGGGGGAAGCCAGAGACTGGAGGTAGAGTTATTATTCTGCTTGGCAGTGAGCCTGGCTCACAGGGAAAGCAATACATGTCATCTGTTTATACAAGCAGGAATGGAAACAGCACTGGAAATAAGCATATGCTTGTAAGCTTGCAAGATTAGAATTTGATTTCTGTCGTGCCCACCACTGCGGTTTGTGAATTACCAGTCTGATTCTCTATTATGTTTTTGGACTCAATCCTATTCTTGCAATGGGGGGATTGTTTTTACAACAGCGAGCCACAGTTCTACAGCCTTGAATATCAAATAGACGCACAGTGGGGAAATTGCCACCAGCAATCAGGCCAAACCGCGGCTGAAATCTGGCTGTGAATCAGGTGTTTGTCTACTTAACAGCCGCTGATGGCAGGTAACCAAACACTGACCTTTAGAATATTATCTGGCTGGTATAACAGTGTCAGCATCTTGTTCATTCTTACATTCGTCTAACTGCTGTGAAAAACCACAAAAAAAAACTACACAGAATGCGAAGATGCAATAGATGATTTGTGCAGGTGAGAAAAACAAATAACAAGAAGTCTTTAAAAAATACCTTGACAACAAAGCTATCCCCGTCCTGCCATGGACACAGAAACCTCACAACTGTTGCACTCTGTTAGTAAGTTGCCAGTATTTTTGTTGCTTCAAGGACAGAAGCAACCAACCTGTCCAGACAGCGAGTGAGTGAATGAATGAATGAAGGAGGCCATGCTTCACAAAACAGGTCACAGCGGATGTTGGCCTGGATTTCACTTACTCCATCCAGCTCACTCACAGAGCTGCTGGAGCTGCTGTGGAAGTGATGAAAGATGAACAGAAGAAACTGGACGACAGCAACCTGATTACAAAACTAGTGTCACTACGAAAGAGACACTTTGATATATTTCTAGATTGAATATTTGTATTTTTTAAGATTACTTATAGATGAATCACTTGTTGTATTTGCTTGTAATATTCAAATGATATTGTTATTTACATTATCCTGTACAGATGGCTCCCTGCATGTAGGATTCAGAGAAAGTTTCCCAGACTTAGAGGTGACATCCAGCTCTGGATGAGAGGGACAGAGGTGACAGAGGTGGTTTTTATAAAATCATTCACACACATGTCTCATCTCTCGTCTGTCTCTAGGAGCCCTGTCCTCCGCCCCTGTCCGACACAATGACACCAGAAGAGGTATGGTAATGATGGAGGGATGATGGATTTGAATGGTTTTACAGAAATGTCTACTTCATTATTTATAACATGGTGATGAAATACTTGCACGTCTGTGTTGAGTCACCAAACCTTGAGTCCACATTGAGTCTCAGGTGCCCTGGGCACATGTCAAGGTAACCAAGTTAGATCTACTTTCTGCCTAAGAAAAAAATCCTCATAAAATGTTGGGTCACACCACAATCAGAATTCCATTTACGTCTGATATATCTGCATAACTAGACATACGTTTGTGTGACATGACCCTTAAAAACTAGACCTGTATTTATTCCAACTGTTAAAAGTAAAATTTCGAACTTAAGTTAAAATCCTTCACGTTCACTCTTCAAGCTTGAGAACAAAATATATTTATCAAACTTCTTTTGACTTACACAGAGCTGAGCACGCCTCTGTAATAACAATAGTTGCTGAAGCCACATTATTAAGAACATAGTGTTTGTCTGTTATTTTCATTTGAACATTTGATGAGTTATTGATGTTAAACCACTTTTTCTATTTTTTTTCGACATTCATCAGCTACAAACAAACAAACAAGAATAAATCTGGTTCTGATTTTATTTGCAATCACTCTCTAGGTATCTTCATCGTCTGCAGGTGTGGTACTAAATATTTTTTTTCCATTTCAGACAGTTTCCTATTATTTCATCCCATGCATAGATTTATAGATTATCAATATATTAAACTCTTGTTAATTTGCAATGCTAAATATTCCAAGAGCTTTTTAATGTTTCACACAAATAAAAGTGACCTTTAGGGGGGAAAAAATTATATTTCTATATGCAAATGTGCAATATTACAGAAGTAGGGTCAGTTCATATCTCTGATTGGTCCTGATTTATCATGATTACTGGAGAGTTGCTCTTAAAAGTGACTTTTGGACTTTGCTGTAAGTAGGAGTCACTTGTTGAAGTCACATGTTTCAGTGAAGAGCTTTTTTACTCTTTAGTTGATCCTTTAGAACATTTGTGAGTGTTATTCTTAAATTTAAAGAAATCAGTTGTGTTAAATTCAGAAATGTCATAACCTCACCTGTTTCTCTCACCAGTCTGAACTAACATGTCTTTAGAAATACATTTGAAGAGTGACATTTACAGAATTTCAGCCATTTCAAGCACATTTCAGTTTACGGTGTGACCTATTTAGTTTTGAGTGGATGTGTATCTACCAACACTTTATCATATGAACACGTTTGACTTCTCGCCGTTTTTGTTTTTCTTTTTGACATGATTGGAACTGCCAAGTGAAACATAGAAACAAAACTGAAAACAGTCCCAGATGAATGCTTTAAGCTTTACTTACAATGGAGTCAAAGCTGTCAGAGCTCAGTGTTGGCATTCAAATCCATGCCACATGTAGGTCACAGATGTTTGAGATGTGTGTCACATTTTAGGGGAAGATTCAGAACTGGGGCACTTTTCAAACTGCAAAGTGACACTGAATTTTAAATGAGACATCTTTCTTGTTAAGAGCTCCAAAACAATATTGTGCCTCCAGTCGTGTTCTGTCTGCTGCCGTCCCTTTACTCTTCCTGGCACCTTACCAAAACGCCCCATAACCTCTCCCTGTAAATCCTACAAGACTGCTGCCCCTGTCAGCACAGGCTGAGGCTCACAGGTAAAATCCATAGAGAGGCTAAAAGGTGTCAGACATCCTAAATCTCAGAGGGGAGGCCGCAGACATGCAAGGACGCAACAACACATGGATTCAAGGTTTCTCACAGCTGTAAAGCTCTCCTCAGTGGAAGCTAACTACCATCTATCACCTGCAGCCACACACTGACTGTACAAACACTCACACCTTCAGTTTGATCCAAACATACTTCACAGCGTATTGATTATTTATGTAACTGTAAAATCTGTTGCCTGATATATATTTAATCACTTGCTATATGTATATGACTCATGAAACCCTCTGGCTCAACTCGGGAAGCGACTCTGAGCTAAAGCCAGTCCATTCACCTCTGTAACCTTGCTTCTTATTTGCTGCTGCAGATCAAAGCGTGGGAAGAGGCAGAGATGGACAAGCCGATGGAAATCGATGAGATACGAGTGGACCCTTCCCCTTTCCAGCTGGTTGAGAGAACATCGTTACACAAGGTAAGTGCAGAGAGACAAAGATAAACAGGCGTCACAGAGGTCGACAGATAAATCCCAGTGCAACACTTTGCTTCCTTACTGTAATTTATATTCTGTGAAGGAAGCATTTCCAGGCAAGACAAGGGCAAGGGTTCATTCTAAAATGCAAACTACTTAGAGCCAAGCCAAGTTTATTTGTATTTGTAAATCAGCCAGGTAGAGAAAGGCAGTTTCATTTGATGGTAAAAAACTGGTTTTATTGGTCAACAATTTAAAGATACCCTGTTCAGCTTTCCTGGAAATAAACAGACTTTTGTTTACATTCAGTGGTTATCACTGAACCATGTTGCATGCACCCCTGAGGCCTCACATATGAACTGAATGGATTTCTTTGGACCTCGTATTGTTTACATTCATGTGTTTTTGCAACTAGTTTGCTGGCACACTGTTTTTGCCTTAGGTTTACCAGCACCAACTGCTGATATGTGGAATAGTCTGAAACCCTCAGCAGTTGTGTGTGTGTGTGTGTGTACATCCTCGTGCACATGCTCAAGATTCAAGTAAAGAAAATAAAAAAAACATTGCTCAATAGTGCTACCAATTGTCAAAAATCCCACTGGGTACTTTTAAACTAGCAATCTCAAAGATCTCCATTTTGTTATCTTTGGCCATATGTGGTAAATGCAGATTTGTTTTTGAACCACACTTGTGTGTTCCCCCACACAAACTTTGTGTTAGTGACTAATGTTCCTTTTGTTTTTGCAGGTGAGTCATACCAGACACCCAGCTCATAAAACTGTAAAATACAAAGAGTTCTATATAATTTCATCAGTGGGTCATGGGCTCAGTCACCATTGTGTTACCTCATTCGGTGATAGAAAGTGACTTAAAAGGCACTTATTTAAATCAGATTCTTTGAGATTGCAACTTTAATGTGATTGAAGTCATTATAATGAACATTATAGTATCCAGAGATTGGAATTCTTTCAATACAGAAATAGATTTGTTCATTCGGTGGTAAAGCTGTTTGTCAAATTGGAAATTTCTCAACAAGTGGAAAATGTACTTTTTTCCATTTTTTTTTTTATTGACCTGAAGGTCGACGTAATCTCTCTGGGCATGTGCAACGGCCATATTATCACTTTAATGAATTAACCACTGAAATGAGTATTGATTGATGTTTTAGTGTATGAAATGGTCACTTCATTAGTCCATGTTGGGACCTGATGTGCACACCAGACATCTCTTTAATCAGTGGGCATTTGTTGGGAACCACTTTCTTTAAGTGAAAGCTCAACATTTGTTTGAAGACTTTGAAGGTCCCATTTTTTACAGTTTCTTATTTGAAGTGTGGATCCATAAGAAGATATATTTGTGATATTAAGAACCAAAAACCATCTCAGTGTAGTTTTACATCTCCTCTCTCAGGCTTCTCTCTGGAGCTCTAGTAACAACAGGTCGGTGAGCCAATCAGAAGAGAGGAGGCTCTGAGCCTCTCTTCTATTTGGCTAAAAAATATAGCAGATTGCAGGTAAACACTCAGAGAAACCAAATCCTGCAAGGTTGACTGCTTTGGTGTGACATCACAAAGTTAAGTCCTGACAGCTCATTTTAAGGCTCAGTTTCTGAATACAGGCTGTGTGCATTTCTCTGTGGACTGAGCACTTTGATACTTTGACAGTATTAATATAGAACCTAAACCTGCTTTATGGTCGAAAAACACATGGAAATCTACCTTTATGCTAGGGACCTTTGAAGATTTTGTAGAACTTGTACACATCAAAACCTGTTGCGCTGTCACCAGCCGGACTCCTGTCCTGTGAAAAAAGAAGTTCCTAGGAGCATAAAGTTACTGCTCAAATACCCAAAGACTCAGGCTCATCTGCTTTCAAGTTTCATGCACAGTAACATCACCTTTATATGAGGCTGAACCAATTCATTCTTATTCATCCAAAAAATCCCCATCACCATTTATTGCAAATTACTTCATTTAAAAGGGTATATCTCAAGTGAACATAAAAATAGTCTCAGATACTGAGAAATATTGTCAATTTCTTCCATTTTCATTCAGATTGATTTTTCATTACTTCATAAATTGCATGAAATTACTTGGATGGATGGCCTGCAGTTGATTTTAATACAAAGTGTAAACTCACCGTGGACGAGAGTTGATGTTTTTTTTCGTCACAGGTATTATACAAGTAGAGAGGTATATAAATGGAGTTCAGCACCTCAAGCTGTCGTCAGGTCTTTTGTTGATGTTCCCACATTGGGCTCTTTAAGTTGTTTACTTCTGTAACATCTCATTCAGCAGGGGATGTGGATAACCTTGACAGAGGGGTAATGGCACATGAAAAACACTCTGTGGAGACTGTGATTTATTCTCACAGTGTCGTCTGACTAAATGGAGACAGACCCAGCAAGGCTTCATTTTGTTTGACTGAGAACAGAATCTTATTTACTGTAGTCAGTGGGCGGAGGGGTTGTTAGGTCAAAACCCAAACGTTTATGTGTGGGAGTCGTCCCCTGTTGATTGTAGATGAAGAAAGTTTGTACAAACACGGAGAGGTGCCTTGCTCAAGGACACCTTAACAGCAGTTGGTCAGGGAGGGGGAATTGTTCAGGCTTGTTCATGTTTTATTTCATTTTCATAGTGTGAGGCACGACGATTAACGCTCTGGTAATTTGTGTTTATTGAGCACAAAAAGCTGCACTTTCTAGATGTGGTATATTCCACGTAAATCATAAATGTCTTTACTCATTAACTTACCCAAATGAAAAACCATCCTTCTTCTCTAACTTCTAGTCCACTGCTGCCATCCAGCTGTTCAGCTGTGATGATGAAAATGTGGTATTTTTAAGATGGAAGTTCTGATGTTGCATTTTCAGCAGGAGCTCAAAAAATATTTGTTATTGCTCATGTAAAATGTTGAAGTGTCAGAAAGGTTACAGTCTTACATTGTAGCTTTTGGCTACACACAAATAGCTTATTTACTGAAAAGTGATCTGCAACAGTTTTTGATAATTAAGCTACTAAAATATAACAGGTGTTTTCTCAGTTCTTTGTTATGATGAACTGAATAACTTGGGCTTTCTACTGTTTGAATAAAATGTCAGATTTTTTGTGATAAATGACTAATCAAGAAAATACATGGCAGATTATTGTTAATGAATATAATTACTATCCATAAATACAAAAAATAAGGAACTGAGAAGAAGAATTATTAGCTCTAGTCCTAAATTTCGGTAGCGAGTCATCCAATCTGATTCTGATTGTTATAACATATATATGTAACATATATAATTTGTAGTTTTTGAGTAAAATTATAACCACATCAGATCAGACTGCAGATACAGTCTTGTCCATAAATACATGTCAATAAATATAAGAGACCATATTCTTGTTTTCATTTTTTTTTTTTTTTTTTACAGTTTCTTAAACAATGTTTGTTTTACACATTAAATTCATTCAAGTTTGTTCCAAAATTCCAGCCTTCTAACAGAAATACATCTGTTTTTCAAATTTGTTCTAGTTCTTATTTTGTTGAACATAAAAATTCCCTTTAAGATAATAACAACTGTCTCTCATTTAAACTATGTTTTTTACCTTCTTTGGTCTCATTTATTGTGAGCTTCAGATAATATCTGAGCAGTTTGATAGTCTACAAGGACATCTGTTTATAATTCTTATAGCTCTGTTCTGTAGCAGGAAGATTTGATTTGTATGAATTTTAAATGCACTTCTCCAAAGCTCTACACAACAGGTGATGAGAATAGCACAGAATAGACAGTGCAGTCTCAGGTAGCAGGTCCTTTGCTTTATACAGAAGTACAATTGATTTTTATTTCACATAATTTTCCAGCTTGTGATCAATAATGACACCCAAAAATTTCATTTAATTTACTCTTTCCATTTCTATTTTACCTCCCTGTGACACACTTTTCTTGACACATGTGAAGGTGATCCAGGATTTGCAGATGTCTGCAGGATACTGAAGCGTGTAAACACCTTGCACCGTTATTGTTATTATTTTTTTCCTCATCAGTGTGATTTCATTCTCATGGTAATATCCAGAATATTCTGCTTATTCATGTGCAAAAGGGGCCTCGTGATTGAGGTGTGCTGGTGCATACAAAGAGCTCATCCAAAGTGACCTCAGCCGAATATGAACAGAATACTTGGTGCATGGAAACACACTCAAGGACTTGTTCTCTCTGTGGTTCACCTGGAGCCAGTTTGCTTTCATCTCTCTGTCTGTGTGACACTGCGTCTAGACAGAGAAGCTCTAAGCCTGTAAATCGTCTGAAGCCGCAGACAGATGAAAAAAAGTTTTTTTAAAAAAGGCAGGTAAAAAAAAAAAGAGAAAAAAGGCAGGACTTTGTCATAATTTGCCGCGTGACCTTTTTCACTCTGTCTCCACAGACTCACACCTTATTCTCCCTGCTGGGGCTAAGTCACGCTTATGTGACCAGTATTGGCAAACTGGTGGGGGTGGTGGCACTGAAAGAGGTAAGAATCTTTTCCTTTTTTCCAATCTCAAACTCTCTAATGAAGGTCACCTGTAACCAAAAGCAGAGCAGTACATTTTTTCCCAAAATTACATTCCCATTGATCTGAGGCCAAAAAAAAGCCTTTTTCCTTTTTTAATATACTCGACTTTCAGAGGTATTTCCTCGTCCATCTTGACTTTGGAGGAAAGAAAAAAATCCAGTTTTTGCTCCTGATTTGCTTTTTGAATTATGTATGAGTGTTTTGGTAACGTAATCAATATCCTGTGTATGTTTCTTTAATTTACTTTATTCCTTCTGTCTTTACCCGTGTCTGCCTCCTCCTCTTGTGTCACTTACTTCATCCCTAAACCTTGTTTCCTTCTCTTTTCTACCTTGTGTTATCTATCCCTTCATCCCATCCCTCTATTTTCATGAAAACCAAATTGTTCTCCATCGCTTTTTATCCATTTCTTTCTTCCCTTTCTCACACTTCACTTTTTCCTCCACCCTTCCTCCTCCTTCCCCTCCAGCTCCAGAAAGCCATCGAGGGCTCCACCCGCTCCGGCGTCCGACTTCGTCCTCCTCTGGCCAGCTTTCGTGACATCAGCAACCACAAACCTCCACCTTCTTCTCCCGCTGCTCCTTCCTCTCCGACCTCCCCCTCCCCTCCCTCAGCTTCAGCTGCTTCCCTGCCCACCTCCTCTTCTCCGCTTGACCACCACCATCACCATCACCACCACCACCATCACCACCATCCTCATGTGAATGAGACGGAGGTGTGGATTGAGGGCTTGACAAGGGAGGTGGAGGAGAGCAGCAGCACCACCAGCAGCAGTAGTAGCAGTACAGGAGATGATGGTGACAGCAGTACGGGGGCCTGCAGCTCAGCCAGTAGGAGTTGCAGTTACAACAGCAACCTTAACCTCCCTCCCTCCTCCACTCCTCCCCCTGTCCCTTCTTCCTCCACTGCTCCTCCTTCTCCTCCCTCCCCCTCCATCCCTCTCTCCACCCTAAGGCCCCTACAGGAACTCCTTGATGGGGGTGAAGACAGCGACGATGAGCCAATGGTTTAGACTAGACGAGTGTTTTTTATAATGAAAAACTTTTTTAATGGTGTGAGTTTTTCCTTCTGTTCTTAATTTGTTGCTCTGGTCTTTGGACATTTTACCTCGTTATCCCACCATTACTGATTCTGTCTGCTCCTGTCACAGACCTTTTCTTCGCTCTGTCTGCCCCGACCTCTCTGTCGTTCCTTAATGAGCTCTGTATGTGTACATTTTTTTGATACATGTCGTGCAACACTTTCTCCTCATTTTCTCTTTCTCATTGTTTTTCACACGTACAGTCTCAAGGGTTCAATCAATATGGGTTAAACTCTTCTTAATCTTTGCCAAAGAATTTACTGTTTACTCCAGGATTATTTTCTTGTCAGGTCGTAATGGCAGCCCAAACAGCTTTAAGACAATAATAGCCTTACCACTGAAACCTGAAACCAAATCATCTCATTGTTAGTGGCTCAAGTCTCACTGAATGTAGGCTGTGGGTATAAACCTGCCATTGGGCACCTATTGCAGAGCGAGGTCGTTGTTGATAAAACCAAATCTTGCTGAAAATTGTTTTGATGAAGATTTGGATCGTGCAATTACACAGTAGTGCTGTTTTTCTTTTGTATTTCTTTATTTATAATAATAATAATAATAATTATATGATATAATAATAGTACTGGAAGTACGCAGCAACTGAACAGCATGGCTAAGCACCCTTTCCTTCTCAAAAAACATTTTCTTTTTTTCCTTTTTTTAATTGACAATATGAATCCAATAAAATTTCCCATTACAATTTTTACAATCTGAAAAAGAGATGTATATTAACCAAGGTGTGCATTAGCATGTTTGGAGAGGGGAATCAGCCGTTTTAATGTTCACTATGTGCAAATGTTTCCCCAAAACAAGTTCCCCGCCCAAGATGATTGTGATTGGTCAACAGAAATGCAAACAAGCTATAGTGTTTTTCCCCAATAGCTGAATGATAATGGATGCAGTCAGACTATTCTCCAGTCCAGACACCACTGTGCAGGTCTCTTTAGTCTTAGGATATATATCGCTCATCTTAAATCACAAAGAGCTCAATTAAAAACTTTACTGAGGAATACATGTATAATATAAGAATATAGTTTGCATTGTTCTTATTTGGATTTAGATTGATTGGACCCATCTCATGGTGTTTTCCAGCACAACATATGTTACGTCTTTTGTGTTGTTATTAAAATTATATGCTGTGCTGAAGAGTAACACAAACCTGAGCAGCCCAAACTAAAAGTGAACCCAGTGAATCCCCGCACAGTACTTCTGCATTACCTGATCGTTTATGTGTCTTTAAAAAAAGGTTTTTATCGGATGAGAGCAGGAGTTATTGATTTTCTTTTTTTTTTTTAACTGGCAACAGACCATCTGGATAGCAGTAGACTAATGGAGCTGCTCAGTCCACTGTGGAAGATTGGCCAAAGCCCCAAAACGACCTCCAAATTGTGTGCTGACCTTGTGGATGCAGCCTCAGAGCTCATCTCATCACGGTTAAGTTGATAGATGGTGGAGCTAAAGGCGGCTGACGACAGCCAAACCCCACTGCAGAGATCCTGGAGTTTTTTTTTTTTCTTTCATTTTCCCTGACAACAAGGATGCCTCCCAGATTCAACAAAAAATCACTCATGAGTATGTTAGATAATTTACACTTATGTTGCACAAAGAAATGCAACAAGTACACAACAACAGAAGCTTTTCTTTCCAGAATGTTACATCTATCATCCTGGAATGGGATTCTTCAGTGTTAGTGTCTGTAATGTCTTAACTTTTACCTAACCTAACTTATAGTGGATGTCCTGTTTATTGTTTTTTTTTTCTTAAAAATCTACAAAATTAATGACTGGAAATATTCAACCCTCTTAAAGTCACTGCTGATGATACTGTACGTCTTCATGTTTAATCTTCTACCTTAATAACTGCATTTATACATTGTTGAACTTGTTCTTTTTGTGGTGCACTCTTCCTTTTTCCTTTATCACTCCATCTTCTCTTACACTCTTATCTCCTCTTCATCTTCTGGACTCAGTTTCTCAGGTGCTGCCTTAAAAGTCTTTAAACCTGCGGATTTATCAAAAAGCTTTTTCTCCGTCTGTGTGAATTAAAATGTGTGTCTTTTCTTAAGGGGGGGTGGGGGGGGGTCTGTACTGGACTAAGTGCTGATTACCTTTGTCTGTCTGTGGTTGTGGTTCATGTATTTATTTATTTATCTTTTAGTAGACTCAAATGTTATCTCAAAATTTATAAAACTGTGAACAGTGTAGTTAAATAAAGTTTTATTAAGTGAAATGCTTTAATTGTTCGCCCTCATGTGTTGTGAATTTGACCTTTATCCAGGTCAGGCTGATTGTAGAGGAAGACCAGGACAGGGGAAAGGCAGCACATTTTAAGACAGACAGAAAGAAAAGTGTCTCTTTTGCTCAACCTCCTGGACCAAGAACTGAACTCAGTCAAGGTAGGGTAGAAATATTGATTTTTGCATTAGAAGACACAGGATTTTTCCACAGATATAAGAATAACACTATACTACTACACTAAGCATTTTCTTCATTTTCCTCTATATATTTTATATTTCACCTTAATTTTTAGATATGAATTTAACCTGAAGTCTCAGGTATACAAATGTTATTTCTGTGGTGTCAGAACTGCTCACATAACATTAAAGGTCCCATATTTTTCACTTTTCGAGTGTTTTAAGTTTTATTGTCCATAAGAAGATATATTGTTTTAAGAACCAAAAACCATCTCAATGTAGTTTTACATCTCCTCTCTCAGGCTTCTCTCTGGAGCTCTAGTAACAACAGATCAGTGAGCCAATCAGAAGAGAGGAAGCTCTGAGCATCCCTTCTGATTGGCTGATGGTTTTCTGAGTGATCAAATAAAAATATAGCAGATTTCAGGTAAACACTCAGAGAAACCAAATCCTGCAGGGTTGGATGGTGGGTTCAGGTGGGCAGGGCTTGGTGCATGGCTAAAAGCGATGACTGCTTTGTTGTGACATCACAAAGTTACACAAGTCCTGACACAGAATAACAATGAATTACAAAATACAAAAAAATTTATCCTCAAAACACATTCTGTTCACTTTCTTTGTAACCATTAAATTTACAAAAAAATTAATTGTTTGAAGTTATGCATCCAAAGCCATCTTGATTGCTTGTCATCTTAAATTTACCTTAAATTTAACAAGGTGACAGGTTTCATATCCACCTGTGGTTTCATACCTTAATTGCTTTTTATCTCATTTTATTTTTTTAAAGAGTAGGTGTAGGTATTTATTCAGCGTTGCTTTGCAGGAATTTTCAAAATGATGGTTATCTCATTTTGTGAGACTCTATGATGTGGTTGGCACAGACTCAGCAGAGCAGATTTAATGTGACTGAACACTATTGTAATTATTCATTATTACTGACATCTCAGTCATTTGAATCTGACAGAGACACCATAGTTAGTTTCACTTGTGCTCAAAAAGATTAATTTTTTTTTTTTTTTTTTTGGCATCCCTCATTTTGTACAACCAGGTGTTGCTTATTTTAAACTTCGGCTCCTCAGGTGGGATCTGTGTGTGTCTTGTGTGCTCAGACAGTCGATTTACAGGATGAGATCTCTGAGCAACAAGAGGACAAATAGAGGACAGATGATTATCGCAGCGATCAGGGGCATCAAGGTCTTGATCAGTGGAGTGTGAGAGTGAATTGTCCCCTCCTGCAGCTGAAGACTTTTAGAGGAGAGGATGTTAAATTAATGTCACAGTAAAGCTTGATTCCTTTTTAATGTGTCTACAGGTTTGATCGGTTTGTGCCTTCCTGTTGTCATCGCTGGTCTTTCTTTCTCTACGAGTTGAAGGAGCATTAACACAAACACACACAGTTAAACACTGACTCACACACAAAAGCCTCAATAAGAACTCAAAAGGATAATAGCACTTAAATGGACGAGGGCACTTCTCTGCCTCCAGACAGTGATGAAGTCTTTATGTGGCCCAGTGTAATGAATGGGGCAGTTGTAGTGATCAGTTAAAGTGTTTCAGTGGAGTTAATGACTACAAGAACTATTGGAGCTCTGTGAAGAAAACCTCTCACCTTCACACTGCAGCTTCAGGACCTGTTTTTTTTTTACTGTTTGACTAAAGACTTGGTTAGAAAAGGATAATATAAAGGGGAGTTAAGCCGATATATGCAGTGGTTGTGATGGTTGGGGGCTGGGCAGGGAGAGCATTATCTCAGCAGACATATGTGTGTGTGCTCTTATAAATTTTATCTGTGTGACCTTCAGGGCAAGGATATTTTTTGCCTGGCCCTCGCCTCTTAAAAAGGCTGTTTTATATACCTCCACACCAGCAACAGCCAAAGATGGAGGAATTATGTTTTCAGGTTGTTGGTCTGTCCCATTCTCAGGAACACCTTGAGGGAATTTCTTCAGATTTGGCACAAAGGTTCACTCGGACTCAAAGATGAACTGATTAGACAGAACAACACCAAGAAGAGTCTGTTTCCCAGAATATATATATTTTACACACAAATAAAGCTACATTCATACAAACATACATACACACATACTATACATACATACAGTCTTACATTCATACAAATACATATAAGTTTATTGGATTTTTTCTTTTATTATAAAAAGCAATTTGATATATTATTACTTTGTATACTGTGTTACACTGTTAGGGCTAGGTCACTGTTAAAAAGCATGCACTTTCTTTTGGTTGTGTCCAGATCACGTGTTTGCAAATAACTCCAAGTGCGCGCCACATGCTATGAGTATCAGATCGGACCGGGTCCACAGCATCAGAACCGCTCACTTAGGGCTCAGGCAAGCTGTCAATCAAACCAGAACTCATTTGCTGCTTCTGAGCGGTTTCACACGTACTTTTGGTGCACTCAGAGTTATTTGCAAATACTGTTTGACCCAAGTCTGGCTGTGTCCATGTTTGTTGTATTGCACTGAATTTTTTAACTAGGCCTTTTCTTCTTCTTGTCCTACCTTCTTTTTTTATTTTGTTTTATTTTTTTTTTTGAGAATTTCACATCCATCTGTTTGCCCACTGTTCGGCTTTCAGTCCCGGTTCTTTGATCCCCTTGGTCCAAACTTTTCGTTAATCCATCTCATCCTCACGCAGATTGTTTCAGCAGTCACTGAATTCAAGTCTGTCATCTGCCTCAAAGTTTCATTAGTTCATTGTCACATACATAATATTCCTCATTTCCTGTGGTAACTTATGGGGCTTCTTGGCATATAGTTTGTGTACATTACATCCCATGATTCCATCTGAAAAGTCTTCTCCTGTTGCCTCTCACTCAAAGTGGGTAAATAGTTGGGAAGGGGGAAGGGGTTGGGATAATAGCTTGATTGATTATTGGAGTATTTATTTCCTGTTTTGGTCAGTCTGTTTGTGACCATATGATTCAGTTGGTCGCGACAACAACAATGGATCCGTCCTCCGCTTCTTCGTCCTTCTCCTCCAGTGATTGGACGACGCAGGGTGTGACGTCGAAGGGTATCCTCTCCACAATGGATTCGGTGGTCTGTGCTGGCAGTCCTGGGCTTGAACCTCTGGTCGAGGGGGCCTCCTCCCTCAGCGGGGACGGGGTCAAAGAGCACGGCTCTGGCTCCAAGGTAAATGTTACCTCTTCTACCTGTTGAGACAGGAAATTAAGCGGTAAAAAAAGCGATTAAGGTAGTTTGGGATTCTACAACAGGTAAGTAAGGCTTTTTATTAGGCCATGTTGTTCTCATTTATATCTGACTTTGTTGTTTTTTTTTTTAGATTGATCACCTTCATTTTAATCCAATCTTATAGATGCATCAGTGTTTGAAACACATGCAGCAAAAACCAAAACCAAGCGGCTCCAAAGAAGACTTGGTTTTTGATGTTTGAACAAGGAGTTCATAGAGGATACTTGCCTTCGTCAGCTCCTCTTCTTCATCTTCATGCTGCTCAGGGATGCCTTCAGACTCGGGCTCTGGCTCCTCCCCGACTGTCTCCACCACTCCTCCGACCATGTCAGCCATCTGTCCACTCAGCTGCCCAGCGATCTCCACCTGCAACCATTTAAGTTTATGGATTTGATGCTTGTTGTTTTCTGTTGCACTGCCTTTGGATGGAAAGTGATTCAAAAGGTTACTGGCATTTTAACATGTATTTAATCACCGACTGACATCAGTTCTTCAACTCCAGTATATCCTAGTAAGAGATACCAGAAAGAAAAAACAACAAATATAAGGAGAGAAGATGGACAAGCAGGTTTCCTGTGCTGAAGTTAGCGTGGTCTCCCTGTGTAGAGAGAAAAGGTACAGTCACAGATTTGGAATCCAAATGCCTGGAGTTGTAAACTTGTGGACTTTACAGCATGCTACTCTGAAGACCAGGCAGATTTAAAGAGATCCGTTGTCAGAATTCATCAGATCCGCTACAGGCTATCATGCAGACTTTTGGCAGTGCCATGCAGACTTCCAGCCTGTCTCCTACCTTGCCGAATTCCCTGGCAGTTTTTCCCCATCATTCACTGCACTATAGATGTGTGCTAAATATCCCTGCTGATATAAACAAAGCCAGACCCAGAAGACAGAAAATGACAGATATCAATGTCAAGAAAGAAAAACAACAAAATAGCTACACTGAACTCTTTTGCCTGATAGATGGGATTGAACAACATAAACCTGAGCTTCCTACAATAGCAAAGAGCATTCATGCATAATGAGACATTCTGTCATGGTCATGATGACTGTGTTGTTTCACTCATTCTACAACAATGACTAAAGAGAGATGCCTGTCCTGTTTGCCTCTGACTAGTCACGTAGCCCTGTGCCCTTGCAAACTCTCATAGCTCCTCTGTCAGAACACATTAAACCATCATCTCGTCCACAAAGGCTGTAATCCGACTATTTGGATTCAGCAGGCGAGTGCCTACCTGGTGCGCCTCGACCTGCGCAGCTCCCCACAGGTCGGCTAGCCGAGGGTGGGTGGGAGGGCCAAGGCTGTGGATGGTGCTGTTAGGAGTGGCTTGGAGGGAATGGGAGGCACTGTGTAGCCTGTGCTCCATGGACTGTAGGTAAAGAGAAAGGAAAAAAGACAAAGAAAGAAAATTAATATATTTGCAATTGGTTGATTTGATTCGCCGATCAATACAAATGACACAACAAGTTACTTGGCCAGTGGCTGCATTTCTTGATTCTTAAATCTTTTCCCTGGAACAAAAATATCGCCACCCACTAGAGATTTAAAACAACCCCCACAGCTCCTGACATTTTCAGCTGCTCATTAATGGACAACAATGCCACAGCGAGCTACTGCATCAAAATGCATTTCAGCTGGGAAGTTTTAAAAGCCTCATCATGCCAAAACAAATGACAAAGCAGTTTTATTCTTCCAGCATTTAGCAGTCTTTGCCAGACACTTTCTCAGGAGGAAGGATACTTTTGCCATTTTTCACTTCCTTCTAGTCACTAATAATGGTCTGAGACTGCTTTTAACATCCCATTAAAATGAGTCAGTGATGGTACTGCAGGGAACATCAGGAAAATGTCTGTTATGCATTGACTGTTGCTCTGAAAATTGACTGATTGCAAGGCTTTATTATGAATGTAATTTCATATATTCAATAGTCTCCTTCATGAGGGAAACCATACAATACGCACAGTAAAGCTAACAGGTCTCAGATGAATGCACATTTTCCAAGACACAGTCCCTGACCTTTTCCGGATATTATTTCTTAACCCACAGTTATTTAATGAGCTCTGAGAATGTACCAATACACGAACCTGAAAAAGTCTTCAGGTGTCACAGTTCATCATGCCAACACTTAATTAGCAGAAAACCTGAGAGTCAACAGCTGATATACACCAATAAAAGCGACATATCCCACACATCCAGCCAGTGTAAAGGAAGTGAAGCCTGTCAGTTAAAAATGGAAATATTTAATAATAATTGCTTGGGTTTTCTTACTTCAGTTATATCACGTATGATGCAAGTAAATGCCTGGTGCCTATTCTATTTGTTATGTATTCAAATTGTTTGTTATATATTGGCTAATAAAGGAAATATAATGCCTTCCAAGTAAGATTCAATGGCAGTATTTTGTTTCACTGCAGGATGGGTGATGATTATAAATATTGCAGCAGCAGACCTGCCAATCTGTACGTATTTAGCATAGCAGGTACGCATTTTGACATCAAAGGACGCAGGTACGATTTCTCGTTGTAAACTACGCAAAAAGGTGTGTGTTCAATTGTGCCCGTGCAGTACTCCAGTCTAACAGCGGGCGGCAGCAGCGTGTGGTCAACTGAGTAAGAGAAGAAGAAGATATAGCGCTGAGTTCAGCCCCCAAACGCCATGCGGGAAAAACAAATGTCCATTATTTCAACACAGCAACACTAACAGGTGTAACAGCTCCTCACTCCGTCTGGCTGGTTCCTCAGGTGAGGGCGGTGCTTTAACTTTAACGTAAACGGGCTGGGCTCAATGTGGACAGTTGACATTGTGAATGGAGTTAAGTTGACGCAGACCTGCAAACTTGTCCAACTATTTAAAGTTGATAACGTTAGCCGAACGTTACGTAATTTGCAAGCTAGCTTGCAGACATCAATTGGCAGAGTAACATTAAGTAATATTCAGCGTGTGTCGCAGATTGTTAAACGTAACTTTTCATAGGAGGCTACTGTGACGCAGAAATAACGTTACCTAGAAAGTTACCGGGAAGTGTGTGCGCACGCGCGCTTTTGCGCCTTGCAGTTAAAATAAATGTGATAGATGATGAGTAAAAGGACGTGTTTTACATCACAACATAATTTTCTGCACCTAAAAATGAAAACATGTTAACTAACAATATGTCATATTTACCATATAATTGAATGAAATTTATTTATATTTACCATTGTGTATAAGCAAACCTATACAATAAGTCATTAGAACAATGGTTTTAAGCAGGTGTACTGAAACTTTTAGCTTTTACTGTATATTATGATAGAGCTTCATTCAAAGTTCCAAAACTTGAGGTGAATGTATGTAAAAAATGTTCCTTCAAGTCAAAAACCAGGGCTTCAGTCTCCCCTGGACTGATGTCACATTGTTCACACATGCCCACAAATAGCTGACTATTCCTAAATGTAACTGGTCTTGGATATCTTGTGACCTCTTTTTGGGGTCAAGACTCCCAGGTTGAGAACTTCCTTAACCAAGTGCTTTGAGTATATGACCATAATCATGTCAGGAATAGATTCTGTAACATACAACCTGATGTTGTTAACTTACTGTTGACAGTATCAGTCATCAGTACCTGTACATGAATGTCCACAGTTGCAGTACCACTCACTTGTTGTTGTTGGTACTGCAGAATCTGCTGCTGGTAGTGGTGAAGCTGTTGGAGCTGTTGGAGTTGGCTGTGCTGCTGCAGGGCCAGATGAGCTTGGTGCTGCTGAAGGTAACCACCTACCGTCCCCTCAAAGCCCTCAGCAGGCGTACCTCCCGCTCCATTGCTGCCACCTGGAACAATCATAAAACACTTAGCGTCCAGTGCTCAGGGACACCATGTAGTGCTTAGAGACACTATAAGAAAGAGAAAAGATTTAATCCTCACCAGCAGCCATTATGTAGGAGCCTGCAGCAGGTGAGGCCACGCCCGAGGGCTGGCTGGTGATTGGGTCCCAGGCGTCGGAGGACGACAGGCAGTACAGACCCTGTGAGACGTAGGTGTGAGGCCAGACATCTGCAGAGGAGTGGTGGAGCACCTGGTCTGTATGTGGAAACAGACAAGAGAGAGGACAACATGAAAAGGAGAAGAAAACAAATGACAGGAAATTCTGCAGAAGAATTTTAAGGATTCACTGCTCACTTAAATATCAGATTCCCTCTTGTTAAGTGAAAATAGCAGATTCAAAAGTGGCATGTTTTTAGAGAAGGTGTGATGAGAGGACATTACACTCAGAAGCCTTAGACTTTGCACAAATCAAGAGATGTGAACAAATCATTTTAGTACAAGAATAAAATTCAATCAGTGTTTTCCTCAGGATGTGAAATGTTGATGCTGGAAGAGAACTGAGGTAGAATCAAGTAGAACTTAATTTACCCCCAACGTTGAAGATCTTATAAGTATGTATAAGCAGGTTTGTTGGGACACTATGAAGAAGATGCAACCTCAGAGACTAAGCTCTTCATTCAGACATTAGTTTAAATGCCATAAAGCCACACACGGGGACCAACCTGATCTCATCTAAAAAAAACAAACTGTAATAGCTTTAATAGGAGTATGATTAGCCTATCTGCAGCTGTGTCGTTATTATAGAGCAGAGCCATGGGTGGGGGGGGGCTCACACTCAAACACTGTGGAGAAGAAACATCCCCTCAGTCCTAATGCTGATATTAAGGATCTTTTACATTGGGGTGTGTATGTGTGTGTGTTGGTGTTGCATGCTAGATAAAGCACAGAGCAGAGCCCATATGGTGTTGTTAATGAGAGCAGGGCTAAGTCCTTGTGCTAACCTACAGGCTCCCTCAGGGTTTGGGCAGCGCTTTGCTTTGCTAAACACCAGCAAGAACTGAAAAAGAAGCTGTTCACAGTGCTGCTGTGTGTGTACAAGAGAAAGCAGCACAAAAGTCCATGTTTCAAATGCATTTTGTCTCATTTTTGAGTCGCCAGAAAAAGACAGAATAATGGCCACGGAATCGTTTTGTTTTTTATGAGCTTATGTGACTGTTCCCTGTGAGGTCAGATGGGTTTTCTACTCTTGCCTGCGAAAATTGCTCTCTTCCCTTCCTTTCTTTCCATTTTATCATCCTATGTGCAACTAAGCTAAACAGACTTCTTCCCACCTGAGGCTCAAACCACAAATCAGGATCTGAGTTTGTTTCCCGCAAACTGTTTTTGTTTTATTCAACCAAGTGTAAAGTGAAATCCTCTTCACTTCACTTTCTGTGCATTTCCTTTTCTTACTTGAACACAGCTCGTCTTTTAGATTTTTTGGTAAAATTCTCTTACGCAAGCATACGTGACACAGCATCAGAATGTCTTCTGATATTTCAGATATGACAGGCTGTTAACTGAATTCGTCATTTGGAGGTTTTTGAGTAAGTGCCCAGTAGCAGTGAAAGGCAGAAATTTGCAGCTGTGTGCCTGCCCTCCAAAAGTCCTTTAAAGCTGGTTGGGAGAATAACTGACGTGGCTGTTTTTAGTTTCCAGCAGGGCTCTGTATTCCCAAACTGCATCTACGCATGACAGTAAAAATAATCACTGAATATGAAGTCTATAGACAAATAGCTGAGTGTGCAACATTTGAAATATGTCGTGAGAATAAAGTATGTGTAGTTGTATGTGTAGTACAGCTACATAAAAGACTCACCTCTCTCCCTTATATTTAACCTCAGTGAGCACCAGGTCCTCACTGTGTTCCCAAAGTATCAATAAAAAGGATTGCAACCAAATACTGCAGTAATAACCCTTCTAGTCATGCCAAGTGGCCATTTGCTAAAAGCTTTTAACTGCAGTACCTCTGCTGGTGATGCTCTCCTGGTTGACCTCACTCAGGTGAGCAACGCTGCCCTGGTTGGAGCCGGCTCCCATACTCTCCCCATCCATCGAGTTCCAGCCAAACAAAGTCGCCTCGGAGATCGCAAACTGCTGCATGATACCTGAGGGGGAGAGGAGGGGAAAGAGTTATACCAATGCTATCTGAGATGCAACAGTACTGATAATAAAAAAAGAACATTTAACGCAGTGAAACACAATTAGAAATACAGTGCATTAAACAAAAGTTAATTAGTGATAAAAGGCAAACGGGAGGTAACAATTGCCGTTAACATGGAGTGTTTATTCCAATCAGGAAATGTGTAAAAGTTGTAAAGAAATAAAAGAGAATAAATTTTAATTTAACTTTGCCAAATGGGCCAGAACTAATTAGATGTTCTAAACTTGAGTAAAGAAAAATCTTGCACCGGTGAATAGAAAGAAAATGTACAAGAAAAAGATACCAAGGCATGTCTTCAGTGTGATAAATCTTTGTTGGCCATCCCTCCAAAAATAATAAAAAATAGTCTTATTACTATTTCACAATTAATTATTGAGCAGTCTGAAATGTGAGATACTTTGTAGCCATGTAGATAAGTGGTCTAAAATACAGGTTGCCTGAACATGACCACCTGCACCCAGATGTTCCCTCACCTGCAGCGAAGCGAGCCTCCTTCTCGCCGTCGCTCAGGTCGCTGTAAGCGTCGTTCTCCATCCTTCTCTCTTTTTCCCTCTGCAGGTTGGTATGCCCTGCCCCCCCCATTGGCCCTGCAGATGGTTTGCCCCAGCTCTGCCACTCGATCATGTGAGCGACACGGCCCTGAGCCATGGCAGTGGGCTTGGTCACTTTGTCCTTCATGGAGCGTGTCACACCTACAGCAGGTAATTGAAGGGTGGGGGAAGACCAGCAACATACACACAACACACACACACACACACACAACACACACCAGACACACACAAACACTGTCAAAACTACTTCTGGCCTCTGCAGTTGACTTCACCTCCAGCTGAGGCTCAGGTGGGATATAGAATGATAATGAGAAACTGTAATGTAGGAAAACTGATTAACTACAGTATGATAGATAATGTCTGTGGGGTAATAAATGTATTGGTATGGATGGATTCAGGTAGTTCTGTGACTGGTTATGAGATTATGACAACAACCTGGCATTTACACTATTACTGCGTAAAAATACATTTAGTAATCAGAATGAGTGCAAGTTCAATTTTATGGGCATTATACTGCTTTTAATCTGAATTAACCATGTCAAAAGCAGCAGTTTTCATTCCTTTTAAATCCTTGTTTATCCAAGGTACGTTCACACTTTTTTTTTTTCTTCTTTTTAACCATCGATCTTTTCCTCAAATTCACACTTGGAGGCTGCTAAGTACCACCTCAGTTGAACTGCAGGAGTAGTAGGTGGTTAAATGTCAACAACACAACAGTGGTGTTAATATTTACCTGTCAGACAAACGCATCTGCCTCTAACCTTTAGACCGCTGCTGCTTTCTAATATCTGTCAGCAGAACATCTCCCATCAACATCTACAGCACCCTCATCCAAACCTTTTCAATTTGCCACATTGCAGTTATTAGTTATGTGGTAATTATCAATAATGAGTCCAGAAGTCACCGTCTCCTCATATTAGTCATTATCTGCTGTTTTAGATGATAATGATGTGACTCGTGAGGAAGAGCAGATACAAATGTCACATAGAGGTGAACTCCTGTAGTAACGAGTGAGTCTTTGCTCATTAAAATGGTCTGATATTTTGCTTCGATTACGATCAGAGCTGGGTAGACTACTGAAAGTTGTTCTGCTCTGTTCTCTGATCCTCATCTTGAGTCTTCAGACTAGAAGATCTGCTAACAACTATGGATGCTACCAAAGATGTCTTTCTGTACAGAGTACAACATGTCAACCTCTCTGAGATCTAATTAATGAAAACTGTAAATATTCAAATTATTATATACCTTAACACACCATGAGTAATATCTGAATAATCAAATACCTTCATTCTTTAGCTTATCCTTTTAGGGTCGTGGGGGGCCTGGAGCCAGTCCCAGCTGACATTCAGCAAGGGCGGGGTACACCCTGGAAAGGTTGCCAGTCTATCACACATAGAGACACCTACTGGCAGTTTAGAGTCAGCAATTAACCTAACTTAGTTTTAACTTAATTTAGAGTTGCCGATTAACCTAACCTGCGTGTCTTTGAATTCGTGGGAGGAAGCTCGAGTACCCAGGAGAAACCAAAGGGAGAACATGCAAACTCTGCATAGAAAGGCCTCTGGCTGACAGGTTTGAGCCCAGAACCTTCTTGCTGTGAGGCGACATTGCTAACCACTGCACCACCGAATGAAGATGAATTAGCTACATAAAAGCATAGACCTTTTGCGACATCTGCCACATCTCTGGTCAGTTGATAGACTGGCGTGAACTGGTCAGAGGTCAGGTGACAGGAGCTAACCGTAGTGACAAATGGGACAGGGTTGCCCCTGTGTGCTCGTTAGAGTTTGTTGAATTGAAGAGAAAAGGACAAGGATGATGCCTGAAACGTTGACAACCCCATATTAATAATTAAAGCCATTACTCATCTGCCGGTAAACAGAATAAATGAGATTCATTAGACTTTACGTAATTAAAACCGTGTTACAGAGACTGAGAGAGGCAGAGGGACGTAATCCTTGGGTGTAAACAGAATGTCGAGAAGGGTCCACTGGCAAATCTCTGCCCAATTAAGATGCAAATACGAGATTCAAACTAGGGACATATTCACTGAGTCAAATGCTTGCAGAGAGGCTGATCAATAAAAAATTTAATTGAAGTCAAACAGGCATGGATAAATAGAGACGGAGCTTTGGAAATTGCTCCCTGGGTCCAGGGGGCAAGTTACAGTCTGAGTTATTAATAGAAACAGTTTTTCCCCCCAAAGAGAGACAATCTCATTTGAAAATCAAACACTCCCTGCAGAGTCTAATTGGGGATGGAAATAGGAATGAAAAGAATGGGGATGAGGGATGTGGGAGGGTGTTGGGGTCTTGGCTATTCAAAGGCTCAAAAGAATAATGCTATACACTGTTAAATGATACCAACAGATTTAATTAAAGTGCACCAGACACAACAGAAATAACACTTTTTTTTTTTTTTTTTTAGCACAAAAACTCTGAGGCGCTACACTGAAACATCACAAAGCACAGAGCACTACAGTTTGAAGCACAAAGCACGAGAGAGCACAAAAGAGGCACCAATTCACAAATATCGGGGCACACCACCACCAGCACTGCCACATTACAAATACACTACATTTCCCAACACGCCTGTGGAGATGCTTCAGGAAGTAATTAAAGTAAGTTATCCCACTTACTTTAGTTTCTTTGAAATTAAAGATCTGATTGGATTTCCATCAATGACTCTGCGAAATATGTCTGTCATTGACGTCTGCTGTTGATATCAATGGAAGAGAGGGGAAAGTGGGGAGTGATTATAGGAAGGGGGCACCCACAGGGGCGGCCATGTTGGTTCCAAGCTCCTCTTCCTCCTCCTCCTGCTCTAGAGTGAAGTTGTCTGTTGATGCAAAGATCAGTTTACAAAATCCGCCATTTAAGGCAAAGGTAAAAAGATAATTCCTGTTTTTTTTTTTTTTTAGTGTGTCAGATGATCCTTTGGCCTGAAAGCAGCACAGAAGTCAGAGTAGAAGCAGAATGGAGTTTTTATTAATCAAACCAATCTCAAAGGAAGAGCTGCTCTGGATGTAAAAATTGTTAAACCTAAGTGGAGCCTTTGGCATTCTAGCACCTTAAAGGCGTGTCATGGAAAACATCCATGCTCCGAGTCTGGCCTGGGACCTCCCCTGTATGTTGTCTCCCATCATTTCCTGTTAGCTTTTCTACTCTCTAATGAAGGCATAAAGCCTTTTGTGCAAAAATGCGCAGGAAAGAGCAAAACACCTCTCACTGCCTAACTGATAACCTTGAATAGTATTGGATGTATGTTCAAAATATAATCTAAAATCTCATCAAAGGATGTTGTAAAATCAGATAGTTGATAATAGGCTTCTTAATTAGCCTATCCTGGTAGTTGTAGGCTAGTATGGCTTAGCATGAACAGTAGGCTCCATGATATTAGCATCCTCTTCACTTTCACATCTTATTAAATTGATGTCAAAAATGCAAGGTTCTCTGTTGGTGGAGGTGTGTTGTTTTTGGTACTAGTGAGACTGTTTAATACAATCTAGGAGGGGAATATTTGAATAATAGATACTTGAGTTTAAAGGCTTTTAAAAGGGTAAAACACAAGCCAATGAACAAGACTTATAATTAGTACGAGGATGGAATTTACCATTTTGACAGGGGACGTTTCTGCTACTTCTTTGATCACGTCTTAGAATGATCTACCAGACGCATACACCTATTTAAAGGCCAACCCAGTGCATTATAGGATGGCATTGCCCAAGGTTGCAGAAGGTTGCATAGGGTTGCATGGCATTGCTTCAAAGCTGAACCAGATTCCGATTCCATTTTTTTTCTGGGCCAGTATAGTGGTATCATTAAAATTAATGAAGGGGTTACATTTTTTCATGCAGGGCTGAAACCTGAAGAAGATTTTTTTTTGGCTCCACCCTCTTAAGTCTAACTAAACCAATAAGATCGCTCTGTTTTCATACTTTATCGACCTCTGAGAAAAGTTTGCGAAACAAACAAACTCCATTCTGCAAAGGGGAATTAATGGTTTGGTAAGCTAATGCTAAATGAATGGTAACACTTAGTAGATTTACTTTCCATCGTAATCAATATTAATGTTGGCATAAACTTTTAAGTTGGTTTATACGCCCCATTTACTCTGATTTATTTGCTCTGGAAAAAAATTAGTTGCTTATATTGTCTTGTGATTACAATTAAGAACCAAACCGCACATGAATGATACGGCTGCTGTGCTGCTCTGGTACCAAATAACTATCTGAACAACACACAGAAAGAAAACAAGAACTAACTTTTACACCACAGGGAAAGGAAGCCCCTGTCAGTGCTCAACAACAACTTCATCCTTGACCGTCTGTGTGGAGCGTGTGGAGGCAACATGGGGGCTGTTTTACCATCTAGCAGCACAGACACACACCTGACACACCTGTCAGAGAGGACTTAGCCAGAGCACCGATCCCATAGGTGTTGGTGGACTTCCTCTTGAGACGAGGCAGAATGGAAGTAGTGTCCTCCATGGACAACTAAAGAGAGAGGGGAGGGAGGTGAGGTGTGGTTGGAGCAGACAAATAAAGATGGAGAATAGAGAAAGCAGGGTAAGAGAATGAAAGAGGACGGAGTGTGTAGAAATGATGAAAAGAAAGAAAAAATTGAAATGTGACAGGAAAAATGACAAAACAGGAACAGATGAGAAAGGAAGAGATAAGTGTGAGAAAGAAAATGGAATAAAAGAAATTGAGGTGAAAAGAACAGATGATTGAAGATTCAGAAAACAGATTGAGAGAGATAGAAGAAGAGAGGAGGGAGGTTATAATAGAAGGGAATAAGAAAGGACAGTTAATTATTCAAAGAATTGTAAAGGGCTTACAGGGATAACTGTCTGAAAAGAAGACAGTCATAGATATACTCCGGCTCAAAGGAAAAACTGATGCTTGAGTGGTGATTCCAAAGCGAGACAACAAGGGGTCTTTTGTGACCAGAGCAGGTGGGAATTTGCACAAAAAATGGAGTCACTGAGAGATGTAGTATTGACACCAGTGAAATATAAAATTGATTGTATTCAGTGCAAAGTTTACCTACAATCTGATGGATAACAAGTGGAAACAATGGCCAAGAGACTTATTTATTCATAAGGGTACGTTTTAGCAGGAGATATTTTTATGATAATGAGAGATTGTGGTGCTTGTTTTGTTCAAGGACGCTTCTTCAGGGCAGAGACAGCAGCTTAAACCTGTGTCCTCTAGTTAAACAGTGGTCCTCCCTCTCACTTGGAGACTTTTTTTTTTTTTTTTTTTTTTTTGACCCTGACATGGTGCATTGTGACGTCTTTTACCCAGCTTACCCATCTCAAATGCCCTTGGTTATCTGCACCCTTGGAGTGGAAAAAACTGAGAGCTCGTGAAATACAGGCAGAATTCATGTGAAGTGAAAACCCATCATAAACATTATTGGTTCATACAGCCTCAAATGATATGGCGTAGGCTTGGGTGATATCCATAATGTAATATCTTGATACAGTGCAGCCCAAATATTGTGACCATAGACTGTAAATAAAGACGGACATAGCCTCTGTGACATCACCCATAAGTTCCTGAAAAGTTGCTCGCACTGAGTTGCTCCACCATCGCCATCTTGGCAGTACCTGACTGCGCTGAACTCCTGGCTAATCAAAAAATGGGCAAAGAGGTGGGGCATGTGTGGAGCTGAGACTTTGGTCCATGCTGGTTTGTGTCAAGCATACACTCACCCACCTGTCACTCAAAGCCACCACTTGCTCAATTATGCAGCAGTTTAAGCCTTAATAAAAATTTAAATGGGTGAGTTGTATAACATTTTAACATGGGAGTCTATGAGGATTGACTCACTTTTGGAACCAGCCTCAAGTGGCCATTTGATGAACTGCAGTTTTTAGCGTTTGTGTTGGCTTTATTTTCAAGTTGTTGCTTGATTACAAGATGCGATATTATCACATATCGCAACTTATTTATTTATTTATTCATCATTTATATATATGTTATTGTATCTTGTGTCCTTTTTTCAAAATTATAAAAAGTATCACATATGGCGGGGAATTACACGATATTCAATATTGAATATCGGCCGAGTACTGATAGTGTCATACAATATTAGAATTGTGTGATATTTATTGCTAAACTTTATAATCAGTGTTTGGGAAATTATTTGTAAAGCCAGGCAGAGGAGAATCAGGTTGTAGATACTCCAAACCATGTACGCTCGAGTGAACAGCACACCAACCTGAAGGTTGCTCATGCTTGTGTGATTTCTACTGTACTTCCTGGCGCCAGTGCCCATGGCAAACCAAGCAGCAAAGTAATGAACACAGAGACAGATCCCGGCTTTTAATGAGGTCCTCCCAGCGGCTAATTACAGTGGGAAATAGTAGGAAAAACATGTGGACTCTGTTACACCGAGGGGATTCTGGGATAGATGTGATGTAATATTTTGAGTGAAAGTGCATTAATTACTGTATAAAGGCAAACTGATATTATCTGCTCCCTCTGTGGTGTGCAAGCAGAGTATCATCTATGTGTTATCCTATCCCCTTTATACCCTGCATGTAACAGTAACATTATATGGTGTAGTAACACAGCAGCCAGTGAGTCTGTAGGCATACAGATGAAGCTATTAAAGCGATCCATGATCATGCATTTCTCCTTCTTTAGTCCTGCGTCCACTAGAGCATATTCATCTACAAATGTAATAAACCAGATGTGAATGCATATTTTATAACCCCCCCCCCCCCCCCCCCCCGTCAAAAAAAAAAAAAACAAAAAACAAACATCCTCCTCAATTTACCTTTGTGGCTTCCAATCTTTCACACAGTCATACTAATGTGAAACCAACAGAACCCTGGTGAAACAACAAATAGCGCAGCAGCACTGTCGGCTTTCATCACAATTCTAACCAGTTGAATATAAAATACGGGGTCTGAGTACAGTTAGCAACTAGCTGCATTAATCTATATTTTTAGATTAAATCAAGTGACTACTTGTAACTCACGGAGAATCACTGCAGCTATACAAAGCTGTCTATTCTCTTTTAGCTTATTGTTTTTGTTTTACAGCATGTTTACTGAGCGGTTCAGTGTCGGTGCCCCAACCACCTGGTTTCCAGTAACACATATGCTGTGTCTCAAACTGGACACGTCAGTCAGTACACTCCCATGTAGTACACTGTGTACACAGTATACTCACTGGCATAGTGCGTGAATTTTAACAGGATAGTGTTGTGCCAAAGTGAACACTGCTATTGTGCGCTCACCAGAAATGACAATCACAACAGGTGACCGTGATTGGCGCCCACCTTTTGGCCGCTTTGCTCACTCAACTTCAAAATCAACATTTTACTTTCCTGTATGTGCCCTGTGTGTCATGTGACATGGAAATTAGGCCGCCATCAGCGCCGTCAACGCATCTTCCTTCTCCAGTTAGGGTAAGTTTGAAAATACATTGGTGGTCCCTCCCCTTCCACTAACTAGCCAAGATGGTGACTCTTGAGGGTGAGTGTCCATCATTAATGTGAACGTGCTTATGCGCGCAAAAAAGCAAGGGTGAGTATGGAAGTATGCGAATTGAGACACAGGTACAGGATAAAGTAAATATATAATAATAAATATATAATAAAAATGTGTAACTCTTGCACAACTTTTGCATAATTTTTATTTGAGACATAATTTGTCTTTACTTTATCCAGGGTTTTCAGTGAGTCTCTCCCATGTAAAGCATGATGGTCTATCATGCAAGACAACATTTCACCCATAAGCTAACAGTACCAGCCTGGTCCACCGGGCCAGGAAAACAAACCAGAGGAGTTGATTTTAAATCTCAAAATCTGTGCAGCCTTAAGGTCAACAAAGTCTCATTAGAATATTTCTCTGCTTGAACAAGACATGTGTTTATCTAAGATTATTTTCCTCCAGGCAGCATAGAGTTGAGCAAAATGTACATTGTGCAAATAAATTCTGATGAAGGTACAGAAACTGCTGAGTAGTGATGCACTTCATCATGCAGTGCTTTCAGTAAAAACCGGGACTTGTACGAAGGCTTCAGTTGTGGATAAGATAAGCTTATTACAGCCTGTTATCTGTGACTCTGTGTATATATGAAGCTTGCAGTACAGTAGATTAGCAGAGGGCCAAGAGAGGAGACGGATGGGAGAAAGAGTTTAAGGGGAGAAATAGAAAAACTGGGGGATAAGAGAGAGGCAGTGGGAGAGAGTGATAAGTAAGAGAGAAAGAGTGGCAGGAAGGGGAGGAAGGATAAACGAGTAGGATGTCAACTTATATACTCGAAGCTCAAACTCAGGTAATGGAGGAGTGATGGAGGGGGGGGGGGGGACAAGAAGAGGAGATTTAAACAAGGAGACTTACATTGATGCCTTCCCAGGAAAACTCGGCACGGCCATGCTGGGGGTGGGGGGTGGGGGGGGGTAGGGAGGGGAGGAGAACAGTACAGGAAGGTATAGCAAAGGAGGGAAGAGAAGAAGGAGATTTAATAGTGGAAAAGAGAAGATTCGGAACATAGAAACTGGTCTTAAGCCTCAGCCCTGAATTATAGTAATTTAAACATTTTTAGGGTTTCAGCAGTTTCCTCAGTAAATATACCAGATATTGTTTTGTATGCATGTGTTACACTCAGGAAGAAGTCCTGCAGTACAGCTCTAAGCTTTAAAGGCCACAAGAATTTTACTTGCAGTCAAGTCTTTTGTTTGATAGATCTACAAATGTGTTTTGCTTTTTTTTTTAATCATGGACTAGTTCATATTTAAAGTGAATCTGGTCTTAAATTGAATTAAAAGTCCCATATTTTGCATTTTCCAGTGTTGTATTTAAAATGTTGATCCATAAGAAGATATATTTGTGTTTTTAGGAACCAAAAACCATCTCAATGTAGTTTAACAGCTCCTCTCAGGCTTCTCTCTTTTAATAACAACAGGTCGGTGAGCCACTCAGAAAAGAGAAGGCTCTGAGTCTCTCTTCTGATTGGCTGACTGTTATCTGAGTGATCCAATAAAAATATAACAGATTTCAGGTAAACACTCAGAGAAACCAAAACCTGCAAGGTTTGGATGGTGGGTTCAGGTGGGTGGGGCTTGGGGCCTGGCTGAGAACAGTGACTGCTTTGTTGTGACATCACAAAGTTACAGAAGTCCTTATAGCTCATTTGAAGGCTCAGTTTTCTGAATACAGGTTGTGTGCATTTCTCTGTGGACTGAGCGTTTTGATACTTTCACAGTATTAATATAGAAACTAGACCTGATTTATAATCAAACACATGGAAATCTCATTTTATACAATATGGGACCTTTAAGAATTTAATCTTTGAATCTGCAAGAACCCTACATATGTGTGTGACTGATTCTTGTAGAGTTTCAGTTATATTCTGAAATTTTATTTGTGTGCAAAATGCAGTCAACCCATATTCAGACTATATAATGTTTGCGGTTGGGAATTGGTTCTAACTGGATACTGAAACTGTACCAAGCAGATACATGGATGAGCTGT